AGAAGGTCCTTCGCTGCATAGGTCAGGGGTCGCTCGAAAACTGAGCACTGTCCGTCAGCGGCTAGGTGAGTTCTGGGAGCTCCGCGCGGGTTGCAGAGGATACTGTTTGCGCATATTTTGAATCTGCCCCCACGCTTTTGGGTGGCACGCCAACGGGGCGTCAACCGTCCACCATTTTGGAGTGTGTTTGCAGCTTTTTCGCTTGGAGAGCGAAAATGTCACCTTGCATGAAAACACAAAACCGTTTTGTTTGGAAACCGTCAACCTTCCATACCGCAATTTTGGTTTCGTTTGGAAATTCCGGAGCCGTTGTATGCTGCCGGGCTGCGGGCGACCATGCACCAACCTCTTCCGTACGCCGCAGGTGGATGGACTCGGGCACCGGCCTTAAGAGTTGTCCGAGGATTTGCCTGGTGAAGTTAAAGGGCCGACTCTCTTGGCTGAAAAGGGAAGGCACTAGAGCTGAACGTTTTTGGAAACCCCTGATGCAAGCAGCGCCTCATTGGTGTCCATTTTGACATCGGCTATAGCATAAGCTCTTGCCATTGTGGCAACTGGCATCTCTGACACTTCAGTTCCTATCAGTGTGACAGTTGAGCTCAGATTCTCCAGGGTATGCGGTGGACGCGCAAGGGAGACCACCGTGGAAAGGGAGGGCCTTCCACGATGGTTCCCTTGGGTTTTAATTGCCTTGCTAAACCAGGTGGTGGAATTTGTTGCAAGGTCCAAGCAGTTTCAATAACTTGGGTCGCGAGGCCAGATGTGGAAGAGCTGGAGCAGGAGCTCAAGCACTGCAGTCAGAGCTGTGGCCCTGGGTTTTGGTGTGGGTCCAACAGGTCCAAGCCGTCCAAGTGCTGAAACCCATGTTTCAAAAAATGTCAACAGCATCCGTAAAAAAAAGCAATGTGGTTTCCCTTGGGCTATTCAAACAAGTTTTGTCCACGCCCATCAGGTCTTAGGGACCCCAAACATGCAACAATTGGTCCATTGGCCCATGTGCTGCTTGTGGCAAGCCATTACAATAGGCAATGAAATCTCGCATGTGCAACCTGGAGGTACAACAAACACTGACTCATTACTTACAAAACATGGAAGTTGGAAGCGTTGGTTTCAATAGTGGCAGTCTGTTTAGTGCGCATGGGACGCTCCTAAGGACAATCCTATGATGCAGGATTCTCGAACTCTGGGTGCCCGTTTCCGATGGTGGGACCGGCCCCCGATTTGGGGCCCTTCAACAGGACACCCATAAATTGAAACTGCCATTGCGAGCTACGCAGATGGTTGGGTGGATTACTAATTGCCAGCTACTTCCATCGTAGCTCGTTTTGACTAAGGCGACCATCTAAGCAGTCAGGCCACAGAAGTACCATTCACGATGAATGGTTTAGAAGCTGCATTTATGAGCACACCTTTGCGTGGCATCAACTACCTAATTTGACACACACCCACAAACTGGGGTTCTTGTTCCCAAGTCTTGGCTGAGCCCCGACTGTCCAAGCCCTTTCCGATGCTTCCAAAGGGCTTCGGTGAGAAAACTCCGGGCTGGAAAGCTCTGGTTTGCCACGAACAGAAGTTTGTGCATACACGTCTACATACCCTTGGTTAAATAACCCAAAAGTCCTTGCTGTTCATATCATTATCTTTCCCAAAGTAGAGCCGGTCGGAAAGATTAAGGAACCACCAAGTATGAACAAGGGATGTGTGATTTCACTCCGATGGCCAACACCTGTCGGCTGCCAACCAGTGCAGGCTGCAGGTTTGGACCGCTCTTCCTTGCTTGCAATCTGGAAACCGCCCTCTTTTAGCAGTTCCTCCCGAAGGGAAACACCATTTTTTGGCCCATTGAACGAATTCGGACCCATCTTGATTTTTCAGTGGAACGGCTCCAAGATGAAATAGTACCCTCAAAAACAGCACGGGCCGTATTTCCCCCTTAAAACGGATTTTGAGAAAGTTCACCGAGGAGTTGCCAGATTGGAGGAGCAGCTTAGCAGGGCACAGACAGGCAGGGATGGGCAGGATGGGACCATTTTCCCTTTTCGTTTCTTCTCCTGCCCGCTCCGCGGTGGAGCCCAAGGTCGGCTCTGCTTCTCTGGGTGCCCAACAACCCAAAGATGAAAGTGAGGTCAAAAATCAGGCTTGGGTTTGGAGAAAGAGGGCCCCGGGAAATCTGGCATGAGCTGGCGCAGGTCAATTGATTTTGCAGGTACTCAAAACCCAGATAGGTAGCCGTGGGTGGTTTTGCTCTGTTTCATTGTTGTTCATTGGCTGATAAAGATAGAGAGGTCGAACTCCGCGGCAAGCAAGGTTCGTGATTGGGTACCTGAAGCCTTTCCTTCAGGGATCCAACTTGACTCCCCTTCGCGAGGTTCAACGTGCTCTTTGATTCCAGCCAGTCCCGACAAGGTGCCTTTGTAATCCATGGTTTTCAATTTCCCCGAACAGTTTCCCCGAAGGGATGCGACGTGTGTTTGAAACACATGTTGAGACTCTGTTGACGCCCAGTACATGTACTTTGTGGCCAGGTCAAACATCATTTGGGTTCGTCTCGAAATAGGAACCATCAAAGAGAGGTGGTTTCCTTTTGGCCACAAAAGGGGTTACCCTCAAAAACATTGTCCAGACACTCGGTGGGTTGTTTCCAACTTTGCTCGAGTCAACCACTACAACATGTCAATGTGCCATGTGTTTGCCATGGCCACTGGGGGTCTGCAGGGCGTCCAACTAAATGAGCAACGCCCCAAACATCGCATAAGCCAAAAGCCTAAGCAAAATGATACAGGCGCTGGCTGGTTCAGTCCCACTTGGATGTTCGGCCCACCTGGGCTGTGGACTACGACTCACAACAGGGTGAACTCTACTTTGGGACTTGTAAGCGCGTTAGAACCTTTTTGTTAAAGGTGCTAATTACTAACTTGGCCGAAAATCCAAGTGCCTCCTACAATTGTTGACTCCGATGACTTCTTCACTGTTCTTGGCAAGTTGGTTGTTTTTGCTGTTGCTTTTTGTTCGTTCTGTTTAGTAGGGGGCTGCGAAAACAAGGTTTTTTGCAAGCCCATCCCAAGGTTCGCGAATTTGTTCCCTCTTGCCAAATCACCTGCCAGGCCAATGGCTCGAGGAGGCCCACCCCGAGCCGATGCGGACCTTAGCCAAGAGTGGGACCTGGGGTCCCTAGTCATGCTCCTAGTTCTCACGAAAGCGGGTTGGATTGGATTTGCGCTTCTTGTGGATTTCAGCTGGGTAGATGAAGGTTTGTAAGGGGCAGTCCCAGCCAGACATAGGCCGCCTTCTTGATTAATTGCATGGTTCTGGGTAGACCATTTTAACACCGGGTTTTGGTTGTGACTCACCTGTTCCCCTGTTGGTCCTTTTTGGTAGTCTTTTAGTACTCTCTTAATGTCCGACAGGGGCGGATCCACAAAAGCCACTTCCAAACCGGTTTCTAGAGTTTTTGCATATGCGCCTAATACAGCCTTGTTTAGGCCATATTTTGGGGGCTCCTTCATCTTCCGTTTCCAAATTGCAAATGGGCTGGCCAAGCATGAGCCTTTTCTCAACAGGACATGGATGGCAATATCAGACACCAACAAGTAAATCAGCAAGTTGGAGCTTTGCAAGCATCAAAAGTGGGCTATGTTCTCCCTTATGACTAGTGGGTGTGGGTCAAAATTGGACCAGAAAACCGGAGGGTTTCGTCCATGTTTTTCCATTTACCAGGATTCCATTTTGGGTACATATTTTTGACACACAGCCAGTATATTGCCACACCTCCAATTACCAATCGATGCCAACGGACAAGCCATCCGCCCTTTGGAGGGTCCTGTTGGCCTCCAGGCGCCGAGCGACGCCTCGACTTCGGTGGGGGTCCCCAGAGTGATTCAACACGTCCAAACGGCGATGAAAGCTTCTCCTGTTTGGAGGTCTCAAACTTGAGGTTGCGATACTTGTGTCTGGATTTCAGTTTGCTACTTTGAAGGGTGTTGTTTATTTCAGGAGCATGCGTTGCTTATGTCAGGTTGTTAGTTCTTGGCAGGGCTACCGGTTGTTCTTGCCCCGCAGGCCCGCAGGCCCGCAGCCTCGGGAGGCATTTTCAGAAAATGGCCACAACTTTCAAGGGGGGTGATGCCCCACGTGAAAAACGCCCCCCCCCCCCCTCCGCTTTTCGAAGCGCGTCTGACAATGCATACCGGGTAACAAGGTGGATCCTACTATGAAGGGATGTCGCAAATTGGGAATCACCCAATCCAAATCAAAAGAGTCTTCAATTTGTTAGTGTTTGCACGAGACGCTTTCTTTGGGGGAAGGAACGCTTGCAGAGTGAGTCAATGAGCATGACGGAGATTGAGTGTGTATATATATATATATATACATACATGTATATCATTGTATATCATGCTTCTGGGCCGACCTTTAACGACTAGCAGCATTGAGCCTTTGTTGACTTTTTTCTCGTGGATAGTTTGCCTTCTTTTTTTTGGGACAAGGAGCGTGTCCCACTCATCAGCATAAATTGACAACTTTTTGCGGCAGCTATTGCATTCATTGTTTTGAGTATTGTGATGACAATTTGAGGGGCCATAAATGGGTTAGACCCTCTTTGCCCATCCTCACAGGGCCCCAGATGTCTTCCAATAAACGGGTTCCGCTCGCTTGCACCAAAGAAACGGTCATGCGATTGAAACGAACCCATGTGTCAGAACCCATTCAGCAGGTCCCCAAATCCACTCAGGAAGTGAGTTGCGAATTCAGCTGAAAAGGGACTTCTTGCGAAGCACGGACTTGGGAAGATCTCGCGGCTCAAGCACGCATTGGAATCGCACGTCTCGTACCATGGCCAGGCTTAGCTGACCTTTTGGCTTTTTGAGAGCGTTCTTTTTTTGATTTGTGTCTGCAACAAGGCTTTAAACAAAAAGGCGTCCCCAAATACTGTTCCTATTTGTAATTTCATATTTTGCTCGTGATCGCTTTTGGCAGGAGGGTCGGACTGGCCAAGGTATATCATGAGTCTTTGCGACCGCTCCGACACACGCCACAGTTCACCCACACGCTCGCCGACATCCACCGTGGATGTTTGGTCGCTACGGACATTTGAGAGCCCTGGCATCAACAAGGATCCCATTGAAGGCATCGACCAGGATCCCAACGAAGGCAGAGTTGCTCTGAGCCTCTGAAAAACAACCAAACCACGATAGATCATTGGCATTGCCCTTGGCTTTTCCTTCTCGCAACATTTGGGTGTGGTTCAAAATGAAACAGAGGGGCAAACCGCAGGTTTTGGTCCATGTTTCCACTTACCAGGGCAACCCATTTTGGGGTCGGTTTCTTGAGCCACAGCCATTCCGGCCTTAGTCGATTTGGTCGAATGGGCGTACCCCCTCCAGGCGACGCAGCGGAGTCTCCTGGCCTCGACCCCATCGAAGCGGAGCCGAGCTATCCCCGGCGACTGCTGGCGCCCGATCTCGTCGGGGAGTTCGAGGCCAGGGCTGACCTTGGAGCAGCGACCGGAGGGCGACCTACTGTGGAAACCATGCTTGAAACCATTAAACCATTGTTTGTCGGTATTTACAAGGGAATCATCATTCCAGGGTTTCTTAGGTGCGAAATGGATTTCGTCCATCCACAGTTTGGGCGACCTTAGGGCGACCTTGGGTGTCCATTCGTGTTTCGTGCTTCAAGGTGTACGAGCCCATGCAACCTTGTCAGGTTGTTTGGGGAGTAATATCACACTCAACGGCGGTATTGTAATTATGTCGGCAATTGAAACGGTCGATTTCGCCGGAGTAAATTGTTTGAAACATGTGACACTTCATCTGCAGCTTACCTCTGAGGCTTGCAAAAGTGTTGGTTCCCTCTTCGAGGTATGCCAAAGGAGTCACATAAACGACCACTCTGCGAGGATTTCGAGGCCATCTTGGACGTTGACGGCTTCTTCAGGACTTGGCTTGCGGATTGTGAGCCAAGGCCAGGGCAAAATGATGCAAGCAGTATCCTGCCCCGAAGCAGGCATGTTCACCCTGTTAGATGCGTTCCTTTTAAGCCAAGAGTAGGCAAGCCCCTAGAGGCGACCAATCCCATGGAAAACCATCATGCAAAGAGCATGGTCCTTTCAGTTCAACCAGCCCCTGGACAAGGAGACAGTATGGCAAGTCAAAGATTGGTGGCCATGATTTCATTTTGGCCCGACAGGCGCAGAGAGGTCCCTGCTGTTTTGAACCGTGCTGGCCTTTGATACCGAAATAGTCATTGTGACTGTTACGAACATGACGGCCCTAACTGGCAAGCAAACAACTTGCGCAGTCAGAAAGCAACCCTGTCGACAGAAGATGCTCAGCCCATGTTCAAGCCCCGTGAAGTCAAGATTGACCTACTTTATCATTATCACCAGCCCAAATGCGGCCTTGCTAAGGCTCAAGCCTCATTTGGTCTTCTTCCTTGAGGGACCAGGGTTGTACCTTTTAGACATCCTTATTCAAAGAATAGTTGGGGACTCCAACATAAAGATGTTTGCCTCTTGGAGGTATATCCAACGTGTCCCCGCATCGTGGGCAAACGGCTAATGAGGGTGTTGCCCAGAATAGGAAACTCTACAGATAGTCGGCATGCTTTCGTTTTTATGTAGTCCATGGTCCACGGTCAATGACGCATCAGGGGAACTTATTGCCCATATCAAAGAAACTAGGATGATTCAGCCTAGGTTTCACCATGTATGTTTTGACCATGGCACATGTCTCCATGACGTTGGGGTATCCCGAAGGGGTATATGGTTGAAGGGACATCAATACGAACAAGCTCATTTTGGGATCCCCCTATTTTGACAAAGACAAATCAATGCACGCAGGATTTTCCCATGGTCATGAGGTGATTTGGTTTCATGGCGCGCCACAACCCCATTCTACCCCCCTGCAGTTTCACATGAACCCCCCCTACCTCTATCTGTTTCCCCAACTGTCCGGCTCCATGCCCCTTTCCGCGGGCGCTCATCATGGGAGCAGGGCTTGTCTCACAGCCCATTGTCTCATTGCCATCTCGAGATATATGATTCCCTTTAGTGTCTCCTTGCGTGCCAAATAGTTTGAATGGGCTCTCACCCGAAGACAATGGTCGCTTTGAATGAACAACCGGGATATGCTCACCAACAAAGTGCCAGCACAACCAAGCCGCCCAAATTGCAACTTGATGATTGATGAATCCTGGCTTGCCATTGTGGCTGAGCACTGGGAGCACGTCGCATGACCGCCCATGTCAGGTCTGAGCCTGAAGGTCGGAGACATTCCTGGCTGCAGCGCAAAGGCCAGTACCATTGTCAGACAACAGGCTTACGTTGGTCTACCTGTGTGCATGATGTGCTTTCCTTTGAACAAGTGTTCATTGTTTGCCCGGGAGCCTAGTTAGTTGTTGGTTTATTTGGTTGGTTATTTGGTTGGTTGGTTGGTTAGTTAGTTGTTAGTTAGTTGTGACTTTTTGCAGAGCGTCTAGGTAGTTCCCCTTACCGGTGTGTTGTTTTCCGGGTAGAGGGCAAGGGCATTGTTGCAGGTACCCTCCAGGAAGGATTAAGGGCCTTACGCTTCCCACTAATCCCAGATCTAAAATGAGAGGCTCGGACGGGTATTTTTTTTTGTGGAGGGGAGTTGCGGTACCTGGCAGCACTGCCAGACCGAACAAATTCACCAGTTTGTGCTATTTTGCCCTGTTGGTGTTCCATCAATTTCTCTTTTGACCAGCCAAAAGCTTGTTTTTTGCCGAGAGTCTAAGTCTGATCAAGACAGGTCCGAGTCTGGCCCAGGTATTTGGTGTTGCCGGCAGGGCCTTGCGAGCGCTCTGATGGCAAAGGCAGCTTCGTGTGTGTCATCTTTGTGCAGCTCGAGGAGGGGCCAAGTGGTCGGCAAACTTGCCCAAAGCCAAACTAAACGATTCCAACCATAGGTGTCCTTTTTGGTTGTTTTGGTGGAAAAATAGGTGGATTCCTGGTTTACCTGGTGGTTTCATCATCTACTCAGGGCCATCTATTTCCGCTAAAAGGACACCTATGATTCCAACTTTCCAGCTTTCCATTTGTCCGTGCCAAACTGCTTCCGCTCCCGAACCCAAAAGACATTCATTTGTTTCCTTGGGCAATCGGCCACACTGAACCGGCCTGTGGGACACGCAGGGTGGCAAGGCAAAGCCCATGCTGGACGTACCAGGGAAGCTAAGCAGGAATTTGTGGTTGTAAATCGCTTGTTGCAACCCTCCTATTTACACTTTGGCATCAAACATTGGTTAAACATATTTCATCCATGAGTAGCTTTGTTTTGCTTTTCAAGGCTTGGACATCTCTCCATGCTTATCCCCTGAGCCCTGCCATGGTACTTTTCCCCAGGGGCTTTGGAGGGGCTGGGGGAGAAGCTGTGCGTTCGGTTGAACCCTGAACCCTTCCCAGCAGTATGTCAATGGAGCTATCATTCTGCAAAACAAAGTTCTAGCATGCATTTCTTGCTTTGCTTCTGTGGCAAAACAGGGAAGCCCCCAGGCCCTGATTGGCTTCATGTTGGCTCACTTTTGGAAAATATCCCGAGCTGAAGTCTATGTCGGAGGGTGCATTCAAGTCTGCCAGGGAAGAGGAATCCTGATGCCCATGTTGGCGGGACAACACGGACAACCAAGTACAATCGACTCTTGACCCTGTTGTTTTCATATTGTTGGCCTACGGTTTGGTCACAGCCCCACGATCTTCCAGATACCCTCACAAAGGTGCTTGTTTGCGGGGGGAAGGGTAACGCTTACTTCCGGTGTTTTGGGCGAGCGAGAAGCGGAGCTCTACAGGAGGACGAGGAGTTTTGCTTGGTCAAGCGACTGCTGGGCAAAGGCGGCTGCAACATGAAGGAAGTCGCCGAGACTCGCCTGAGGTAAGCGTTGCTTTCGGGAGGTTTCGGGTACACTTGTATAAGAAGGGGAAACCCAACCAACCCATCAATTTGCATTGCAATCTTTTTTGGGAGGCTTTTATCGAACTCCATGTTGCGGACATGGTTGGATCCATGTCTTAGCGTGGGTTTCGCATCCCTGCTTGTCAAGGGATACTTCACCTGAATCCAGGGATACCCGCTACCCCTTACGCAGCATTGGCTCTTCCGAGGGGGTGGCCTGCAGAGGTGGTACCATGAGACTATAAATCATTGGCGTGTTTGCTCGGCGGGCCAAGGCGAAATTTGTGGTTGGCTTGCCTCACAGGAAAGTGGTTTCCCAAAGATGTTGCTTCTTACGCGTGCTAAGTGCTCGTGTTGTGGATTGCATGTTTTGAAAAGACATTGAACTCGCGTATGTGTTGGTCAAACTCGCGCCGCGGAAACTCCGCGGAAGCTCTAGTTTTCCTCGGCAAATATCTAATTTGCTGATACGTTGCGTACTACACTTGCACAACAAGGTTGAGATTTTCGGCTAAAGCTGCGGTCTTGTACTACGATGTTTGTGTGTGGACTTGTACTACGATGTCTGCCGAAGTGTACTTCTCGCTGCGCACTTGTTACAAAGTCGCGATGTGCGGGCTGGAGCTCCTTGCGTGCTACACTTGCACCTGCGCAAAGTTGCAATTTTCGAGCCGGAGATGTGGAAATGTCCAAGCTGGAGCTGCAGAAGTGCCTTCACGAACTGCACTTGCACTACAAAGTTTCGAAGTGCACATTGGAAACTACACGTGTGCTACAAAGTCATGATTTTCGAGCTCGAGCTGTGGAAGTGTACTTCGCTCGCTACACTTGTACTACAAAGTTATTTGTCCAACGAAACTTCACAAATTGGGACCTTCAAAGTAGGGCATCACCTTTTAAACCAGCCCAAGAAGGGTTCCCTCCAAAAAAGATGCTCCGGTTGACTCCAACGAAGCCGACGTTTCCCACGTCTTCGAAAAAGGTCAGGCTCCCCGCATTAGGTGATTCAAAAAAAGAACGCAAGGACGAAGAGGAAAAAAAAGGGAAGGAATGCTCGCACCCATCTCCTCACGGGAGTTCATAAGCTGCCCAACCACCATTCTATGCTGGAGAAAGATACGTCCGTTTGCTCTCACCCGCCGTCACAGCGGAGAAAGCGTGGGGAGATGAGTGAGCAGGATGGATTCTACTAGTACCTTCATTTTCCTGTCCATCCAAGGTTAAACCGGCCTGAAGGTGCCTCACAATCCGTTTGCAGGAGCTCCTGGGATTCAAGAACCTGTTATCCTTGGCGAGCCACAAATCAAGGGTCAACCGATGGTGGCGAGGGAAGGGGTGAACAGGAGACAATTTCCCCCTAGCTGTTTCTGTGGCACGGTCTATTTCTCAAGGAATCATCTTCCTTTCCCCATACTTCGCTTCAAGATTTAAAAGTAAGGAATGGGAGACAGAAAGCTCATGGAAATGGATGGAATTCCTTTTTTGTACTGTGGAAAGGAGCATGAGTGTGTCTTGTTCCCGAAAGCATCGCGAAGGGTTCTTCCGTGCGGAGCCCTTGGACAAGTTACACAGAGCCAAGTTGCATAGAGCCAAGTTTCACAGAGCCAAGTTACATAGAGCCAAGTTACATAGAGCCAAGTTACATAGAGCCAAGTTACATAGAGCCAAGTTACATAGAGCCAAGTTACATAGAGCCAAGTTACATAGAGCCAAGTTACATAGAGCCAAGTTACATAGAGCCAAGTTACATAGAGCCAAGTTACATAGAGCCAAGTTACATAGAGCCAAGTTACATAGAGCCAAGTTACATAGAGCCAAGTTACATAGAGCCAAGTTACATAGAGCCAAGTTACATAGAGCCAAGTTACATAGAGCCAAGTTACATAGAGCCAAGTTACATAGAGCCAAGTTAGAGCCAAGTTACATAGAGCCAAGTTTACATAGAGCCAAGTTACATAGAGCCAAGTTGCATAGAGCCAAGTGGCACAGAGCCAAGTGACACAGAGCCAGGTGGCACAGAGCCAAGGTTAGGTAGAGCTTGCGTAGAGCTTCGGCGTTAGCAGCTATGTAAGTTAGTTTAGGTTTCTAGGGCGCCGGGGCGGGAGTTTGATCGTCGCTCGGGATTGCGACCCTCTGCGGAGATTCGCGTGGTCGAGGTCAAAAAACTGAGGACTTTTTACGATTTCTGCGGGCCGCGCGCGACCCTCTGCGGAGATTCGTGTGGTCGAGGTTAAAAAACTGCGGACTTTTTTACGATTTTTAGCATGCGCGCGCGACCCTGTGCAGAGATTCGCGTGGCCGAGGTTAAAAAACTGAGAACGTTTTACGATTTTTAGCATGCGCGCGCGACCCTCTTCGGTAAATTCGCGTGGTCGAGGTTCAAAAACTGAGGACTTTTTACGATTTCTGCGGGCCGCGCGCGACCCTCTGCGGAGATTCGCGTGGCCGAGGTTCAAAAACTGAGGACTGTTTACGATTTCTGCGGTCCGCGCGCGACCCTCTGCGGAGATCGTGCGCCTCGAAGCGCTCTCGCTGTGGCGCCGTGCAATATTCTTGCTCGCGAAACGGCCTTTGGAAGTAGTTTCGTGGTTTGCGCGCCTGCTTTCGCAATCCCGCGGTCGCAGGTTCGATTCCCCCAGGTCCGCGGCAGCTCCGGAAAATCGCAACTTTTAAGTACACAAATAGTATGCGAAGTACATTCCCACAGCTCCGGCAGCACTTGCGCAGAGCAACTTGCGCAGAGCAACTTGCACAGAGCAATTGCACAAAGCACTTGCTCAGAGCACATGCGCAAAGCGCTTGCGCAGAGCAACTTGCACAGAGCACATGCGCAAAGCGCTTGCACAAAGCACTTGCGCAGAGCAACTTGCACAGACCAACTTGCACAGAGCACATGCGCAAAGCGCTTGCGCGGAGCAACTGGCGCAGAGCACTTGCGCAGAGCAACTTGCTCAGAGCACTTGCGCAGAGCAACTTGCACAGAGCTTGCGCAGAGCAACTTGCACAGAGCACATGCGCAAAGCGCTTGCACGGAGCAACTGGCGCAGAGCACTTGCGCAGAGCAACTTGCTCAGAGCAGCGCAGAGCAACTTGCACAGAGCACATGCGCAAAGCGCTTGCGCGCGCAGAGCAACTTGCACAGACCAACTTGCACAGAGCACATGCGCAAAGCGCTTGCGCGGAGCAACTGGCGCAGAGCACTTGCGCAGAGCAACTTGCTCAGAGCACTTGCGCAGAGCAACTTGCACAGAGCACTTGCGTGCAGCAGCGTGCAGCAGCTTGCAGAGAGCAACTTGCGCGCAGCAGCCTGGAACAATGCAGCTTGCGCAGACCACTTTCGTGAGAAATCGCGCGGCGCAGTTCGAGAGGAAAGTAGGATGATGAGATGGAGCTCTCATGTGACCATACACACTGAGCATCGCCGCGCGCAGACACGCTCGCCGCAGCGATGTAAAAAGGTGTCTCTGCGGCTAAATGAGCGCCTGTGGAAAAATGCTTTCGGGCCAATCGTCCTCTAGTTGGAGACCCTGTCTGCAGTTGGTGAGGGAAACCAAAGGGAAAGCAACGGTCCGAGGAGAGCTTCGACGCGAGGCTGCGGCTCCGAGGCATCGGCAGTGGATTCCTGGAGAATGGGCAAGAGGCACAGGTACCACTGGAGATCCAAGTGTCCTGCGCAAGCTTTTGGCATCTCGTCCCCATTGTGTCTTTTTCTTTTGCTATCTCCCCGTTTGTGAATCCACGCACCAATGTTGGTGGGTGCACTTCCGGGCTTGCAGCTCTTTCAAAACGGAGCCTGTAACTTTGTGTTTAGCGAGGAAATGGGGCGAGGTCGTCTCGTCGCCAAGTGTACTCGTGGCTGCCCAGGTTTTGGGCGTTCTGCCTGTTTTTGTATGTTTGGTTGAATCATGACCTTCTGTTCCCAAGTCTAATTGATGGTAAAGTGCGAAAATGATGACACGATCCACGGTCAAGCGATGCCTGAGGAATTACCTCAGCTCGGTGGCTTCGGTGGCCATTCTCTTGGAGGATCTTTACTTCCACTATGCGCCTCGAAAAAGAAGCTGACTGTGGTTGAATTCGTTTGACATTTGGTGTTATAGGTTTCCTACATGTTCCCTTCCAACGAGGAACATCATGACGTTCTTGCAGGGGCCAAGGCGTGGTCAGCTGAAACAATCGTTGACACTGGTGTTTGGCCAAAGATTGCCTGTCGGTCTCCTTCTGGTTTGCTAGTCTGCTTTCAGCATTCGTCCCCTGCAGGACGAAAGATTACCTTTTTGGAGGGTCAAAGTTCGGTCTTTGGTCCATCTCGCTTTCTAGATTGGAATGCTTCCGTCCCAAGCACCCATTGCAGGTTCATTCCTAGAGGGGCAATTGGGGTACTTTGCTTTAGTTCCGGGTTCTTTTTTGTGTCCTTCATGTTTTGGTTGAATCAATTATTTTTGGTCAGCAGCTCATTTTGACAGAAACATTGGATGAACCGAATCAAACCACCACCGGCATTTTTTTTTGTTTCTTGCTATGTGGCTCCAACACAGAGCCCCTAAGCTGCTGTGCAGTGAAGATTCGGTGTGAAATCTTCATGACAGAGAATAGATGCCATGAAAGATCACACACCTTCTAAAGGGCATCCTCGCTCTTCACGTTATGAGATGTTCGTCGCGCTTCGGCTGGCTGTTATTTTACTGCACTCTTCATGAGCGTTGCAGCATACTTGTCCTGAAGCAAGGGATAGGAACGGCTGCTCACAAAGTGGGACTTGCGCCTGACAATGCATGCCGCATAGCCTGTGTTTTACGCCTAATGTGGTTTTCCACTCAATCATGCACACAAACACACCTTTGAACAGGCACATGCGGTTGTCAGAGGAAGCAACTGCATTGGCCAACAGACCAGCTAAACTGAGTCGGTTTTCAAACTGAAGCAAGGTGCGTGCCCGTGACCTGTCGTCCATCGAAACCATTCTTGTGGGGCGCACGGGAGCAAATTTGGGAAGGGTGCATTCAGGCAAGCGCATCATCGCAGAACCAGACATATACACGCACTTCCCTAGATCTTGCATGGGCTGTCCGAAGCGCGCACGATTACATGGCAAGTGGCCGCAACTTACCGGCTTGCCAAACAAAACTAAAGCTAGACCGTGGGACCATTGAGCGATAGAAGCTCAATGACTCCGGCAGAAAACCATGCAACCGAGCACAACCTGCTGCCGCCACCGCCCTTTAAATCCCTAAAATTAGACTGCACCAGGCACCAGCCTCAATCCAGTAACCAATTCATGCTTGGTTCTGGGCTTGGACATGCGACCCATTGGAGCAAGCATGACCCACACATGGCACCTTCGCCCGATCGAGAGATACTATGCTGCCTGCGCCATCACCTCAACACCCGTTCTTGCTTTACCAAAGGCTTCCCCAGGCAGCAAAATGTGTCCAACAGCTACTTTCCACGGGCAAGGTCGCGCAATCCCACGTCACGCTAGATTGCGCACTGGTTGCCTGGCGCTTTTTTTGGTTGCCTGGCCAATCTTGCAGCACCCTTGCCTGTCGAACTGTCGCGGTGGGACACTTTTTGCTGCTTGGGAAGCGCGTGGAAGGGTGCAGACAAGAGTGGCCACATAACATGAGGCAGCAATGGGTGTAGGATCATTGTTCTGTTAGATGCAAGATTAACATGCTGCGTGCTTGTGCGTACGGCTTGAGCAAATCTCATGCACGATCATGTTTGCTGAATCCCATGTGCGTTTCAGAGGTTGCTTCCTTACGATTAATGTCACCAACAATGTCTCCTACACAAAGCAAATTGCCGTGTGACTCCAAACACCTTTCCAAGAGTTATCTTTTGCTACAAACTGGATGTGCGTTGCTTATTTGCTGCCTCTCACTTTTCGTTTTTCTACATGACGCTTTTCGTACTTGCCAGCCAGAAGAAAGGGGTAAACGGATAGCTCGCAACTGAGACCTTTGTGCTACTCGTCGCAGTGATTTTGTCGGCATAATGGGATGTGTCACATGCGCACCTCTTGAAAGTTTCTGCGATGATACAAACAGGAATACCTGCCCAGTCTGCTGCATAAAGCGTGAGATTTGGTGCATCCAGTATCTCTATCTCACTTGCAATGCTGGCATGCAGCAGAAACTGCATTTTTGGCTGAACCAATTTTTTGTTTTTGTGGAACAACCACAATAGCCCTTCATTCCGCCCTCTAGGTTCGTACACTTCCCCAATGCTGGCCTGTACTGGATACGCAATCTCAAAATAGAGGACGGCCCCTAATTTTTGGGTTTCCTTTTAAAACCAGCCAACATGGGGCACAGGGCTTCCAAAAAAGACACCCCCCATCTCTTTCGTTTAGACCTTTCCGATCTGAGGGGCGGTACGCGCGGTCCAAGGGTCTGGAGGGGCCCATGCTCAAGGTGAAGGCGTGGGGCATTTGCTTTTGCCATCCCGCCGAATTTCCATGGTTTTGCTTCTCTCTCTCTCTCTCTCCCCCAAAAAATATATAGGTGTCTCTTGAAGGGGATTCTTTATTCTGCTGGAGGTTTATTATTATCCGTGAGAAAAGGACAATTCTAGTGAGAAACAATCAGTCAGAATAATTCTGGAATGCCAGCTCCGGTCCATTTGGGAAATCTCCAAACGCGTGCGAACTCTACCTATTGGAATGTTATGTAGAGTAGGGGATGTTTGGTGGTAATCCGACCCCTCCATGGCCTCCAACAAGACCACCCTTGATGAAGGTGAAAGAGCTCCGGCGCAGCGACCATGGCTTGTATGCGCCGGGAGTCTCAACGAATGGTCGGGAGGTGCAGCTAGGACTTACAACATAACCAAATTATTGATGTCCATCAGGGCAACATGTTCATATTTTGACCGTGGCTTTTCTGGTCACAGGAGCCAATCTGATTTTTCCCTGTTTGGAAGGATCAACTTTCATGGCGCTTGCTGTGCGTATGGGAAATACAATGATCTCCTGTGAAGGGTTTCCATCAAAAAGAGGAGGGTAATCCCTCGTTACCTGAGTGACCTACGAAGTGGTCGCTTGCAACTGGAAGCGCCCACTTGCGCAAATGGCTGTTTCGCGCAATGCCCCATGTCCAGGGCAACCCAGCTTTTCGTTGACCGTCTCAGTCCAATTCTGAGCCAGGCGTCGAATTTGTCCAGGTCCAAATTCTGGCAATTCACTCAACCAATTATCCAGAAATTAGGTTTCATCAGATGTAAAGTGAGCCGTGGCTCGCGATACCAAACTCGCCTCTTTGCATGTTTCTTTCAAAGGAGATGCTACTGTGGATGGACGAAATCCATTTCGCACCACCTAAGAACCCTGGAAGGATGATTCCCATGGATTCCAGGTGATGCAGGATTCTGTCCATCCACAGTATGGCCTTGCTTGGAGGAGGCTGATGGAAGGGGGGTCACGAACAAAATCTTGGTGATTTAGTCTGACCAAAATCGACTCTGTGTGTGTGCCTTCTTGTGCAGCGGGTTCCCCACGAAAAAGGTTCAACCGCGAAAAGTTGTGGTTTCTACAACGTTCACTCAAAAAACGAAAGGAAAGGTGAAGCCTGACGCACTAAAAAAGCCTGACGCTTTGCGGGACACTCCGGGGTTGGAATCCTTAGGCCCAGCGGTCACTTCTGCCGCCCGGGCCCGGAGCCACCGGTCAGACCCGGCTCGGAAGCCGACGCATTGCAACGAAGCGAAGGCGCAGCTGACCCACGTGTTATGCTGGTTGCTTACTTGCTTGCTTGCTTGCTTGCTTGCTTGCTTGCTTGCTTGCTTGCTTGCTTGCTTGCTTGCTTGCTTGCTTGCTTGCTTGGTTGCTTGGTTGCTTGGTTGCTTGGTTGCTTGGTTGCTTGGTTGCTTGGTTTTGTTGCTTGGCTTTGTTGTTGGCTTTGTTGTTGGCTTGGTTGGTTGGTTGGTTTGGACAGAGGATCCCCTGATTGGTTGTTTGGGGGCTGGACCGCGCTCTCCTCTTGCTTCGACCAAATTTCAGGACCAAACTTCCGAACCACATCCAAAACACCGAAAGGGAGTTTGCGATCCCACCCACGATGTCATTCAGATCGAGTTGTTAATCAGTGGAACCCCTTTGAAGAGTTTGCAAGCGGAAATGTGTCTCTTGTATAAGGTTTCTGCTGTTCATGGTTCCCCCAACGAAAAAGAGCAGCTTATGTACTAATCCTGCACCAGCTGGGATGGCTGAAGCCTTGATGAAGACCTATGAAAACTGGGACCTTCCAAGTGCGAAGTGGGGTCTGCCGCCATTCGTCCAGGTTTACGGTGCTCATCACCCGTTGCTCGTGAGGCCAAGCCGAGCGTCGGCGACAGCCGCGACGCAGCCCGGCCGGAGCAACACCGCTCTCGAGGCCCTGGGAAAACCCCAAGCGCAGTTGAGACAGTCGCAATCGGGCTTCTTCAACATTGTGTTATATTTTGAGATTGGCTAGGTATGATGTAGAATCTGAGAATCAAATTTTGGGGTGCCTTGCAGTTGAGCCAAGAACCGGGGATGTGTAGTTGATGTGGTACCACCGGTTTGGGCAAGTCTAAGCAGCTCACCGATTCGGAGTTCAAGTGAGAGAGCTCAAGCATGATGAAGCTTCTTTGCCGTTGATTCCTTATTTTCCGTTTTCAATCATGTGAATTTGCAAAGATTGGTTTTGAGCCCCCATTGAAAGCCGAGTTTCGATTATGTATGACTCAGTTGGCCTTTGGCACAAGTTCTGAGTCTGAGAAATGCCAGCACGGCGAGGCGTGATAATTCGATCCCAGGGCGAGCACTATGGCAGGTGACCGGGGGAAACCAATGCATACTATGGGCGTACAATATTTTTACATTGGCACATTCATTGCACAAATGCATCCACCTGGCTACCTAGTAGCTTGCTTGGGAGTGGGAGACAGATGATGAGGTAGTGTTTCTTTCAGCTTGTGGTTCCGAGGGGCAGCGCAGATCCAAGCACACGCATGTTTTGGAGCCAGTTGGTTATGGCCAACTACTTGACCTGGCTGCTGTTTGGTTTGATCTTGAACAATTTAACGGTTTGGACAATTTGTAGTTTCCCATTTTCTCGCACTAAACAGCAAGGCCTTTTTGTGCACTGGGGGGTCGAGTGGGAATTCCTTGAGTTTTGGGATGCAGCCTGCCTCTCGGGATGTCAGCGGCTCTTTTTGCGTCGTTTGCTTCTCGCCCACGTGCAGGCTGTACACTACTTGGGCAAAAGCCGAGCAGCCCATGAACAGGTAGAAATGCTCACTGGCTAGGCCAAAAAACAGCTTTTTAAACTGCGTTGGAATATGGAACTAAAGGCGGGACAAAGAGAAACTTGAAATTCTGTGAATTTGGAGGGTTCTTGGCTCAGTCAGTTCAAGTGACTGCGACGCACTGCTTTGACTCATTGTGCAATGGCACAAAAAGGGTGTGACCAAACTTGCGCTGAGTCGACAGCAACGTACAGCAACAGAGAAAAGCCTTCGAAGCCACTCCTCGCTTCAGTTTCTGGACTTCAAGCTTTTCGATGATTTTTCCAAACGCAAAGTCTGATTTGTTTAGAAATCCACTCCGAAAGTGGGAGGCCCCCGCCAGCTTACCTTGATTGAACCAGCGGCCGAGAAAGCCTAGATGCCCGACGGCGGCGTTGGCATCGAACCTATGGATGCACCAATTCGCACACCCACCACACCCTTCGACTTTGAGGTGCAATCCTCTTTATGTTGCCCCTGTTGAGTAGCACCCTCGAAGACCGGCTTCATTTGGCGAGTGAGTTTGGGTTGCCAGGGATTTGTATCTTGTGGCTTTGTGATTTCAACTTATGCATGCGTTGTACCTGCCAGTGTTGTTGAATATGCGGATGCCTTTGGGCATTTCTAACAGACCAACCGAACTCGTTGTTTCGAGAATGTCCAGGTGGATCATATCACAACCGCCCACTCTTTGCAATGCTTTCGGGGAAAAAACAAAGACAACACAAAACCACGCACACAGAAAACAAACACACAAAAAAGCACGGAAGCAACAACACAAGGCAACTTATGAATGTCATGAGCATGGATCTGCGCCCACGCAGCTTACGCTAGTGGAACTTGAGTCCACCCCCTTAGACCACTCGGCAAATGCTGGAACATTGACTAATATCAAATTATTTTGGGTTGCAGTCGACTAAGCCGGCTCGTGGGCGTGTTTGGAGCTAGGGGCTTCGCTTTGCAGCCCTGGCATAGAAAATTGAAAAATATGTTGTTTTTCATTTTTTTCCGCTTTTACCGCGGGGGTGAGCCAGACGGTAAAATCTTCGCTTCTTGCCGGTGTTGCCTCGGTCGAGCCTGGCAGAGCTAGGGGCTTCGCTTTGCAGCCCTGGCAGAAAATTGAAAAAAACGATTTTGCATTTTTTATCGCGGGGGTGAGCTAGACGGTAATATCTTTGCCGTTTGTTTTTCTCGATCAGCCCTAGCGCTTCTGCTTATAAGCGCAGAGGGGCGGTTCGCCATGCGTGTGTGGACACGGCCCCAGCTCGCAGTCAATCCAAGTAGAAGGTAATGGGAGAACGCATAGGAACGAACCAAGGCAGTAGCAATATAAACGCACATTTTGATGAGGAACAGCCATCTCATTTGATAAGTTGCAGGAAATAGGCGCTTGACAGGGTGGGCGGGCCCCTGTCAAGAAGTGACGATGTTGCCACCAAGCCATCCGGGTACGACGATATGCCCACAGAATGCCCTGCGGACCAACTTGCCGTGCTCGGTGCAGAAACATGGGTGTCTCATGGGCTCTCGTCTTCTTACAAGTCAAGGCATATTCGTTTGCAGAACGCAGAGAAACTTCTGCAAGCAGCACAAGCACACATGGTCTCCAACACACACTTCCGACAGAACCAAGATGATCCACGCAGATGTGATTGGAAAGCTTCTGGTTGACCCAAGCTGCGAATCTGGTAAAACACTTTTGCGAAGTCTTGTGAGAGGGCAAAATCCACGGTGCCGCAGCGCAGTTCGGGCATTGATGCATCCTTCGCGGCAAAGCGCTTCAGTATTTCTGTGCGGCCATCCACCTGCACTTACACGGCAACCCTGGTTTTCAGTGACCTAATAAGTCGGAGCTCACACCTATCGAAATGCAGACAACCTAGGCTTATCACAGCGCTCATGTTTTCATTCAGCGGAAGTGTAGGCAGTGTGACTGACGCACTCGCTCTGGCTGTCATCCTCAGTAGGTCAAACATCCCCAGGACTTCCTCGACCTCGCTTAGCTCTGTCTTGCAAACAACCTGGTTTTACCAGTGGTTTACGGTGTTCAGACCGCTGGCAGGGTCCCGATAGTTTTGCCGGTGTAACTCGAGTGAACACAACGTGAAACGACCGTGAAAAAGCCCGCGAATACACCTCGCTTTGCGAGAGCTCGTTTTCGGAAAGGTGCGGCTGCAATTTTGGTTGCGCGCTTTGGACAATTCAGGTTGTAGATGAGACAAAGGAACATGCGCAAAGAAGTGAATTTGGGTCTTTCAACGGTAACGCGGGGCCTTTGTGTGAAAACCCTGGTTTACCGCGTGCTTCGAAAGGGCTGGGATCCCAAATTGAGAACACGAAGCTGTATTTATACTTCCTAGGTCGTTAGGTCGAATTCGTTATTTCATTGTCGATCTGAAGTAGCTTAAGTCATGTTCAACTTCTTTGGCGGCCCGGAATTGCGGACAAAAGAGTTTGATGGAGGTATTGGGGGCTCCCGCGAAAATTCCAAGGCACGACCCAAGGATACTGCTAAGGCCGACAGCAGCCAGTTGGGCAAGTGGGCCAGCCAACCAGTCGACTGACCAGGCAACCAACCACAGCCAGCCCCACGCGATGTTGTCTGGATAAGGTAAAAAAATTGCCGGCAAGAGACCCCAAACAGTGAAGCCAAGGACATGACCGGAAAAGTCTCTGTGCGCGACAAACACCTCTCCGTTTGAAAAGCCAGCCTCCGTGCTTAATTCCAGCAAGACCAGGAACCTTGTTTTGATGGGTTCATTGCAATAGCTGCGCGCGCAGAGATTTCACTTTGCATGCTCAAAGTTTGCACCGCGCCACAGAGCGAGATATTTTGCGGGAGCCTGCGCAGTCGAAACGCACTTCGGCATCACGATTTTGCGGTAAATACCACGCAAAATGCTCCCGGCCAGATTCCCGGGCCTCATTTTGTGCGAGCCTGAGCAGTCGAAACGCACTTTGGCATCAAAGAACATCACGATTTTGCGAAAATGCCACGCCAAATGCTCCCAGCCGCGCTCGCGGGCCTTTTTTTGCTGCGAGCCTGCGCACGCACCTCGACGTGATACAACATCAGGATTTTGCAGTAAATTGCACGCCAAATGCTCCCGGCCAAAATCTAGCACCGGGCCTTCCCTTCTACCGTAAGAACTCCTCAGTGTAGGCACACGATTTGGGGACAACACATGTTTCGTTTTGTACCGTTTTGTGCCGGAAAAGTCGGTGAGCGAAAGAACGTTTTGTGTTTCTTTGTGTTACCGTGTTTTTACCGGAAAGGTTGGTAAAAGAAGAGAAACAATTTCAGTGTTTTACAAAATTTCCCGGAAAGGCCGGTGCAAAGTGAAGAAAAAGTCCCCAGCAAAAAACGGCAAAAATAATATCTGTGTTTTTCTTTTTTTCCGCGCGCTTGTGAAAGGGGAAGCCCGTAAACAAAACACACCAGCAAGCCAGCGCTGGCAGTCGAAGGATTGGCCAGTTCTGGCATGCAAGTCACACCAACCCAACCAACACACACACACACACCACCAACCAACCAACCCAGACACCACGAACCAACAAACACTACCAACCCAACGATCAGCAACATTGAGTTTTTGTTGCCTGTTGATCGTTTGGATCTGTCGCCTTTGTTTGGGACAATGTGCGTTTCCCATCAGATTAAAAAAACAATTTTGTGTGACAGCTATTGTCTTACGCCCCGAGTTCGTGGGCTTGATATTTTCTGGGATAGTAGTTAAGAAGTTCTCATGTGTTTTGCCAATAAACGGGTTCCGCTCGCTTGCAGCAAAGGACAGTCATGTTTTTTGTTTTCCACCATCTGAAACGAACCCATGTGAGAGAAACTGAGATGTGCGTTCAGCAAAACGGATTTTCTTGCGAAGCGCGGAATTGGGAAGATCTCGCGGCTCAAGCACGCATTGGAATCGCACGTCTCGTACCATGGCCAAGCTTAGCTGACCTTTTGGCTTTTTGAGAGCGTTCTTTTTTTATTTGTATCTGCAACAAGGATCAACAAAAGAGGCGCGCCACACATTCTGCACCTATTTCACATTTTGCCCTGTGGGGTGCCTTTACTTTCTTTTTTCAAGAAAGTGATCGCTTTTGGCAGAAGGGTCGGACTAGCCAAGGTATAACATGAGTCTTTGCGACCGGTCCGACACACGCCACAGTTCACCCACACGCTCGCCGACATCCACCGTGGATGTTTGGTCGCTACGGACATTTGAGAGCCCCGGCATCGACAAGGATCCCATCGAAGGCATCGACGAGGATCCCAACGAAGGCAGAGTTGTTTTGAGCCTCCAAAAGACAACCAAACCACGATAGACAATTGGCCTTGCCCTTGGCGTTTCCTTTTCCCGACATTTCTACCCTCGTGCCGGTCGATTCGGTCGAGCGGAGCACCCGTAGGGCAAGCAGAAGGCTCTACTCCTAGACTCGACGACCTCAAAGCGGACCCCACCTATCCCCGACAGCTGCTGGCAGCCGATCTCGCGCTCGAGGATGTCGAGGCCAGGGATCCCACTTGCAACCTTGTCATGTTGTTTGGGGAGTAAATCCACACGCAACGGCTGTATTTTAATTATGTCGAAAATTGAAACGTTCGATCTCACCGGAGTAATTTGTTTGAAACATGTGACATTCCACTTGCAGGTTACCTCTCAGGCTTGCAAAATTGCTGGTAAGTTGCCTCTTGGAGGCATGCCAAACTAGTCACACAAACAACCACCCTGCGAGGATTTCGAGACCATCTTGAACGTTGACGGCTTCTTCAGCACCTGGCTTTCGGATTGTGAGCCTTTCCCGAGGCCAGATCAAAAGGATGCAAGCAGTATCCTGCCCCGAAGCAGGCATGTTCACCCTGTTAGATGCGTTCCTTTTAAGCCAAGAGTATCCAGGCTTGGGTTACGGAAGAGGTCAAATGTCCGGATCATGTTGTCCTTTTTAGACAACCTTATTTGGAACCTGCTTGGGGCCTGCAACAAAAAGTTGCTTTCCACAATTTGTCCCCAAGTCGTCTGCAAATGGCTCATGAGGTTGACATGCTTTCGTTTGCCTTTGATAGCACGTTGACCACTGATTATGTGTGGTTCGGTCAAGATATCCCTTAGTCCATGCGAATGTTTGGGAGACACATCAGGCACAAACGCCAGGGTGATTCAGCCGTGGTTTCCCCATTGGGTCACCACACATTTTGACCATGGCACAGGTCCCCAAGGGCACATGGGCATGTCTGTTTGTTTGAGGGTGCCCTTTAATATTTTGGGAAATCAATGCGGACAAACTCATTTCACCCCGTGACCATCCATCGTCCATGTCAGGCCTGAGCGCAGTGAAGGTCGGAGGCATTCCTGGCTGCAGCACAAAGGCCAGTACCATTGCCAGATCAAAGGCTGACTTTGTTTCTTTCAACAGAGTAAGCTTCAAGGAAAATATATATCAAAGGGTAAGCAAAACAATGCTTCAAGGGTAAGCTTCCGGATCAAAGGCATCTTTTTCGCTTCCTTTCAACAAGTCTACATCTTTTGCCCGGGGTCCAGTTGCTTAGTTGGACTTTTTGCAGAGAGGGTCTAGGTAGTTCCCCTTACCAGCATTTGTTTTTGGGTAAAGGGTAAGGGCCGCGGTAAGGGCATTCTTGCAGGAACCCTCCAGGAAAGCCCCCCCTTTGCAAGCCTTTTATAAGGGCCTTACGATTCCCAGGAATCTGAGAGCCAAATGAGAGGCTGGCAGGGGTACCTTTTTGGGGAACTGCAAGTTCTGCTGACACTGCCAGACTTCAGGAACCTTTTCGCCCTTTTAGATTTCCATGACAGTTCCGAGTCTGGCCCAGGCAGTTGGTGCTGCCGGCGGGACCTTGCGAGCTGCCATGCGATGGTCGAGCCAGCTTCGTGTGCCGCTTCTTCGTGCAGCTTGAGGAGGGACCAAGTGGTTGGTTTCCCAAATGTTGCTTCAATGTGCATCTTTTCAGCCTGGATGCGTTCCCCTCTGTGATGCTTTGGTTTTGTGTCTCAAGGCTTGGAGTATCGGATATCCATCCCGACCCCCGGCCTGTGGGCATTGGACCGGCTGGGGTTGAAGCTGTCAGTCGATTTGCCCATTCCGAAGCCTTTCGCTGGAGCATGCCGCATTCCGCATGGCAAGGGCAAGCACTTCTTTGGCTTCATGCCGGGTCCCTTTGGAAAAAGGTCCAGGGTATATGGCATTTGGCCGGCTCATACTTGGACGGATTTGCGGTAGGAAGAGGAATCTCACATGTCCATTTTGGTGGGACAGCCAACTCAAATTTACACCTTTGACACTGTTGTTTCCGGGCCGATGGTTTGGTCGTAGCCCCCAGTGATCTTCCAGATACCCTCACAAAGGTGCTTGTTTGTGGGAGGAAGGGTAACGCTTACTTCCCGGTGTTTTGGGCGAGCGGGAAGCGGAGCTCTACAGGAGGACGAGGAGTTTTGCTTGGTCAAGCGACTGCTGGGCAAAGGCGGCTGCAACATGAAGGAAGTCGCCGAAACTCGCCTGAGGTGAGCGTTGCTTTCGGGAGGTTTCGGGTACACCCCTGCAGATTTCAAGGGCTCCGAAAAGAAAAAGGGCGTGCCCTGCGGAGTTGGTACTGGTAGCTATTGGCAATATTGGCATGTAAAAAATATTCAGAGATTTAACGGCCAAGAATGAGTCATGAGTTGTTTTTTTAGTAAAATCGCTTCCCGCTATGTTTGTTCTACGCCAAATCATAAGAATCGAAGGGTTCCAGGTCGAAGGGGTTCCGCGGTTACGGTCCAAATGCTTCGTTTGTTTTGTGAGTTCAGTTTTTCTTAATTAAGGAATACCATGTTCAATTTCGATGGCCAGGGTTTAGCACAAAGAACAAGACTGTAGTTAGTGCAGATGTGAGTGCCTCAAAATGAGGGGCCTCTCCAGGTTGTTTCCCGGTGGCTGCCCTTAGAAAAGCAATCATAGATTATAAAACATGACTCCGCTATATCTGGGTTCAAATGCATGGCCACTCCAATGCCGCCCGGCTCGCAGTGGCAAAAGGAATCACTGGAATATAGACCTCTTGCAAATATGCGTGATGCCAAGGCCTGCCAAGGTGGTTGATTTGGGTGGACTGTACTGGTTTCTGTTGTTGTAGCGGCGTCCCGCTCGGCTTGCGGATTAGGATCCAGCTTGAGTCGCGAAAAATGGGAAAGCTGGCAATCAATCATCCGAAGAGGAAAGAATGCCTCATTGCAAAGCGTTTTTTGGAGGTGTTCTTCGAACCGCCGTGTTGGGTCATTCGGATGCCACTTTTCATGGACCCACTTATAAGTGGCACAACAAGGAAAGTTCCACGGGTCTAAAAACCTACAGGAAACGGAACGTGGCTGGCAACCAACTACAGCAGCAACTGAGATCAATTGAGGTAGGCCACCGGCGCCCGAAAGCAAACAGGGGAAAACGTCATCTATAACAAACACGCAGAATGAACCCCTCCCAGATTCTGCCTGTGTTGGTGGTTTAACAAATCACATGCTTCGCCTCTAGGTTGTTGTTGGTTGGACATATGGGGAAGGTTGTCATGTTGGCGCCTATTGTGATACAAACCCCTCCTGTTGTTCAAGATAATATTAATGAACGTCACACTAGAAATCTGCCTCAAGAATAGGGGCCCTCAAACTAGGGCACCCGCAAAGATTGGGGTGTTTCCCTTTTAAACCCACCCGAAGACGCTTCTGCAAACGGTCAGGGTTGGGGAAAGAACTTGTTTTGCTATTTTGACCCCCTGCAAAGTAATGGAGAAGTCGTGGAATTGGATAGGAATCCCATTAGGATTCTTTTTCACAACCATGTCGGAAGCTTCCCCTGCGCCTTCGCATGTTCCGAAGACGTCGCATCAAAAGGCAAAGTCTTCGTGCTTTGGCTCTGGAATCCACTTCTAGGTCCCCCAGCTAGGTGCCCTTTTACCGTTCCTTTTTTGGGGGGAGGGCTCCCCTACTAAAATAGACTACAGAAAAAACATCGGGTACCCTTATTCAAACCTCTCAAATCCTAGACAACCGCGATTCACGCCGCGCAGGAAATTCTGCTGCAGAAATCAGCCAAGGGCAAAGGATCCCCAAGGAACCCACTTGAGTGTGGCTCAAATTTAAGCAGGTGGGTTTTGGTCCATGTTTCCACTTACCAGGGCAAGCCATTTGGAATTCCTGTTTTATGAGCCACAGCCACTTGGATGCTTGGGTCATGTCAAACGTTTCGCGATCCCAGGAGAACTTCAACGCGAAGGTGCGGCTCCGCGGCATTGGCAGCGGGTTCCTGGAGGCGAACGGGAGGCAGGAGGCGCCAGTGCCACTGGAGATCCACGTGAGCTGCAAAGACTTTGGGCAGCTCGGCGAGAGCCGAAGAGCTTTGGTTGCTTTGGTTATGAATTTGGCGTTTGTTTTGTCAGATCAAAATCCTGGACATGGCAAATCTTTGGTGTGACCGAACCGCCCCAGACAGACCGATTTTATTGGAAGCTATTTGACAGTTTTTTCCACAACTTAGAACAGGTGATCGCCCTTATGCTCAGGGGAAGCCAGCAACTCAGAGGAGGTTTGGTTTCCATTTGGATTCTTCATAACGGGTCCAATGTCTTTGAGATACGTGAGATCAGAGGGACCTTGACTGTTTGCGTTTTGTCAATTGTGTTTTGACTTGTTGCCCGTAGCCTCCAAACCACCATTTAGAGGGCAAGCGACCGAAATGTAAGCTGTTAGATAACCCCCCCTTCCCCGTCCCACAGACGTGTTTACTATAAGTTGTGTGTTGCCCGTTTGCCAGGATCATGCTATTATATAAAGTCAGGGTTGGGCAAAATGTGTTTAAACAGCCAGACCAGAAGGCGGGATCCTCTTAAAGGGAAACAAGCAGACAGTTATTGAATCAAGGGTTTCAACAAGGTATTGACCCAAGCATGTCTTTTGCTGAAAAGACGTTGGACAAAGACCGCTCGACTGGCTGTTGTTTATTTGAGGGGTCCAGGGTCCATGTTCTGAGTACATGAAACATAGCCTGCACAGACTACTGTGGGAACCTTTACTAAGCTCATGGCCACGAATTGTATTTTTCCATTTGCTGAAGTAGTGGTTTCAAGGGCTTCAAGAGTTCCAGCATTGAGCGGCGCACATCTTGTTCCCCTCTTGGACCCAAATCCGATTCTTTGGAAAACGGTTCCGCTCGGGGCCAAAATGTCCTATTCCCCGCATTGGTTGAAACATCACCTTTTTACTGTACAATGTTGGTTGATGTTTTAAGGGCGAGGTTTCAAGAAGGAATGTGCCCTCAGAATGTGTTGAACCAGGATTGCACTCAGCCAACTTGAGAACTCAAGATACATTGTGTTGAATGTGCCAAGTGCAACTGAGTTTCAAGATACCCACCGAAAAGGACTATCAAGGACACGGGGCGGTCACAGCCTACAGTGTTTCCCATGGCTTGGAGTCGGCCGAGGCAGTACCTCAACTCCGTGGCAACAGTGGCCATCACTTTGCAGCAGCTCTACCGCCACTATGCGCCTCGAAAAAAAAGCAGAGAACGGACAGCGGCTTAAACCATTTATGTTGTTTTTCCGTTTTGCCAGACACCCATGCCATTTTGTGTGTGTGTCCATCATGTTCCCTTTGAAGGAAAGGGATTAATTTCAGGGGTCTAGGCATGGCCTAGCTTGAAGGGAATTCTGAGGAAGTTGAATCGTGGTTTGACCTTCCAACACCACCCAACAATCGTTGTTCTCAGTTTTGTGCAAGTGCTGTCAGTTTGAAGGTACTTTGGACAAAAATGCAATCGGCAGCACTTCAGGTTTACAATCCAACAGTTTGGAGGCCCAGTCATGGCAGTTGGCCCTGTTGGGCGTTTCCTAAGCTCAGCGGCCATAAGAACTGTCCGGCATATTTGTTGTGAGACTGAATTTGGACAAAACTGGATAAGGCTCCTAAAAGGATTTGGGCAAAGAAGCAGCGCGGGGCGGCACGCAAGCGACACGGCTCGACACGCAAGCGAATCCGAGCGACAAGCAAGCGACACGCTTTCGCAGCCAAAGTGACCTAAAAAGTGACGCTCTGGGACCCCCAAAGCGGCACTTTTCGCTCAGGGTGACACGGGGCGACACGAGGCGACACGCAAGCGACACGGGGCGACACGCAAGCGACACGGTGCGACACGCAAGCCTAGGGGCGACACGCAAGCGACACGCAGGTGACACAAGCGACACCCAAGTGACACGAAGCAAAGCGCAAGCGACGCGAGTCGACGAGCAAGCGATTCGCAGGCCGAGCAAACAACCTGCAAGCGATGAACTCGTGTCGCGCAAGGAGCTTTGCGTGGCCACGTACTGGTAAGAGTTGCGAGCAGTTTTTTTGCAGCGGTTGGAGCGCATTGTGCCAACTCTGGTCACGTTGTTTGTTTGGTCTGACCCTCGCACCCTGTATAGCCGCGCTATTTTGCGGATATTATGGGAATCCAGTAGGGCATCACTTAGTCAAAAAGTGACGCCTTGTGAGCTTGACCTCTAAGTGACACCAACTTGGCAGCACTTGGGCAGTGCTGGTTCTTGGCACTGGTTTTTGGTCGATGTGTGTCGCCTTTCGGTCCATCTTGCTTACGAATGAAGCTTCCAACCAAGCCCCCTTTTAAGAGCTGAGGCGCGGTATGCGCGGTCCAAGGGCCTCGAGGGCCCTTTGCTCAAGGTGAAGGCGCGGCAACTTTCGTCCGGCTGAACAACCACTTGGTTCGCCATTTGCTTGGCGCCCCAAGAATTGAAGTCGCCATTCGCCAGCGGATTCTGGATTTGAAGGGGCCTTAGTAATAGGGAGCCCTCAAAAATCCGAAGAGCAGTTTTTAGTATTTTAGTGAACATATGGAACCGCAATTGCGACCCACCCATTTCGGAAATCTCCAAATGCGTTCTGAGTGTACCTATTGGCTGGGTATGCCAAGTGATTGTTACTCACTGAAGATGTTTTGTGGTAAACCGACTCCTTCACTTCCTTGCAAAAAGCCAACCCTGGATAAAGGTGGAAGAGCTCCGGCGCAGCGACCACGGCTGGGACCCGCGCGGAGTCTCAGAGTCGCAAGAGAGGATTCGGGGATGGAAGTTGAGGGCTCGAAATCCCGAGACATTTAGATATACATATATATATATATATACATATACTATACATATATGTATATACCTGGGTTTCCAGGTGAGATTTCTCGATTTCTCGCGCTGCTGGCCGAAAATTGTAGAACTGCAAGAAGAGCCTCCGGCTTGAGTTTTCGCTCAGTGACTCGCTTGGAGCTGAGCCTCGTCGCCTCGTTCTTCCTGAGCCAGTCCTTGTAGTTGGGCAGAGCGTTGCTGCCTTGTTGAGCGCCGCATTGGTGTTGCTCTCCTCCAGTTGAGGGCCGTTGATCAGCAGAAAGCCCAGACACGCAGAGGGCGACTTTCACGTCGGGTTCCGCTTCAGACCGGATCTTGTCCTGACACAATCCTCGCAATCCTCCACCTGGTCACACCTGCTTTCCACTGGCCCAGCCTTCACTCCTCCTCGTTGCTATCACGGGTCGTTGTCAGTTTGCGGGTAGAGGCCTCGCGATCGCGAGGAAAATAGCTGTCGGGTTCGTCTCTGAAGGAACGCACGCAACTTGGCGCTCTTCCGCATTCAAGTCCTCGCAGGCCCATCCTCATCTTGCCCGTGCCCGCACGACCTTCAACATGGTCTGCAGGACCAAACAGACGGGGCCGGGCCTGCTCCGCTTTCAAAAGCCCTTTAATAAGTTAAGACCTCCCACCTGCATGCTGGAGCCTCAGTGCTCTGACGCAGTCAAAACCAGTGGCTAAAATTATTTGCACACGCATCATGATGAGTTTTTTTCTCAATGGGAGGTGAGATCCTTCTTGCGGGTTTCTCAAAATAGTACATAGTCGGTCCTCTAAAAAGCTTGGTCTCCTTTTGGCATTTGTTGGTTACCCTGTACCGACAAAAGTTTTGGCTTTCCACCGACCAAAAGGGGCCCGAAACTCATTTTGAGAAACACCCACTTAGGCGCTTCTTTCTCGGCCGCGGTGCAAAGCGGCCGCCCGTGGGCAGCGGGCCACCGGTCACGGGACCATTCACCTCGGAGGTGGGTGGCGGAGCCTTGCAACGAAGAGAAGGCGCAAGTTTTCGGACCGTGCCTGCGTGCCTTGTCTGTGTGTGTGTGTGTGTGTCTGTGCGGGTGTTGTCTCTGTGTGTGTGTGTCTCTCTGTGTGTCTCTGTGTGTGTGTGTGTGCCTGTGTCTGTGTGTTTGTTTGTGTGTGTGTCTCTGTGTGTCTCTGTGTCTCTCTGTGTGTGTGTGTCTGTTGTGTTTGTCTGTGTGTGTCTCTGTGTCTCTGTGTGGTTGTGTTTGTGTGTGTGTGTGTGTTTGTGTCTGTGTCTGTGTTTGTGGGGTCAGTCATTTGGTTGGCTGGGTGGGTGGGTGCGTGCGTGGGTGGGTTTGTGAGAGTGCTTGTTTGTGTGTCTGTTTGTGTGTGTATCTGCGTGCTTCCTCTTTCCGACAACCATGGAATTTCGCAATAGAGTTTTCAAAGACTACCAGCTTTCAAAATGGCTTGCTGTTCACTTCCATGGCTGTTGGAAAGGGGATACCCAATTGGGGGGTTCATTGCTGGTTGGATTGTTTTGTTTTGTTTTTGTGTTTGTGTTGCTTTTGTTTTTGCTGACATCGTTGTCATCTTTTGTTTTATCCTAAAGGGGGGTTGCGACCTCACCCGTGCCCAAGGTTTCTTATTTCGCATATCATAACTGATCCAGATCTATGTTGTGACCAGTGCCGAAATGGCTTTGTCTCAGAATCCCGATGATTGGGTCTTGCAAGGGAAAGACATGTTTTACTTCAGGTTTCTCATCCCACAAAAGAACAGCTGGGTGTGTCTGATGGGAAACCACAAGCCATTCGTTAGGGTCCCCGATTTTGAGAAGCATTTAGCCACTGATTGTCAACTAAAAACAACTGTCGGACCTGCTTGTGTAAGCCTTTCCTAATTCAGGATTCTAGGACTGTTGACCATAGCAAATCCTTAGCCTTTTGCTTTGAAAGGGTGCTTATGCAAGTCCTCCTGTTTTTTTTCAACAGGGGTGGATTGCGAGGGGCAGGGTGTAGTACCACATAAGTTGCAGTTTTGCTTCGGGAGGCAGCGAAGAGGCGTGGCAGGCACAAGATGTCCGTTTTTAAAAGCTGGGGTTTGTTGAAATTGCAAGCCCACAGGAAACTGGGCGCGGTGTAGAGGCCCTCTCCTTTATTCCCACTCCGCAGCAGTGGAAGTCAAATTCCAATATGCTTGAAGGGGATGGCCTAAATGTGACCTGGTTTGGCGGGTGGCTGGGTTGCTTGCCCCGTAAAAATGGTCGGCGGCCCGCCAACCTCGTTTGGGGGGTGCCAAGTTCCGTCCGAGCGAACCAGAGGATGTGCCCGAGACGCCTCTGGCGGTTGCCACGAGTTCTTTGCAAGAAGCCCCTATTCACGCCAAGCTCTGCGTTCGGGTGCCTACAAGTACCCTGTAAAAGCGGCGGGCCCGCCAACCTTCTGGAAGCTGCAAGTCCCTCATTCACAAATCAAGGCTGAACAGTCACTCAAAGGGGGTTGCCCACAGGAGCCCTTGATGGTCTTTGCGTTGACTGTTTTGGGGTCAGCCTAAATTGCATTTGTGCATGTGTTGGGTTCAGCCTTTTGCTTTGAAGGGTGGCTCATTTAAGCCTTTGTCAGCTAAAACCCTTGGATCGTTTGAACCATGGTTTGAATAAAGCTCTTTGAACAAGCTAGGCCAACCAGTCACACAAAGGGGGGTGACCCAGTGTGCCCCACAAGAGCCCCTCATCCGTTTCAATCGGACTGTTTCGGGATCAAAGCTTTGACCTTTGCTTTTGAAGTTAAAGGGTGGTGTATTTGAGATCTGTGCACCTGAGACTAAAGTATTGGCACGGCAAAACATTGCGTATTAAGTGCGCAGAATCTGTGATAATGTCTTGTCACCAAGCGCAGAATTGGCAACTCTAAGTCAAGCATTGGCAAGTCCAAGTCCAATCCAGCCCCCCCCCCAATTGTGCAGGTCGACGTTCACAGCCCGCTCTCGTGAGGCCGTTGGCCAAAGCGCGCGTGCTGGCGAGCACAAGACCAGGGACCGAGGCCCGGACCACTCTGGAGGCCCAAGAAGCCTTCCAGCTCGAGTCATCGCAAGGCCTTGGGTTGAGGAGTTACACCTTTGGTTGGTATCAGGGAAACCCAAAGGAACTGCTGTTGTTGGGGGATTTTCTCTTTTGAGAAACCACGATTTTGCATAGTCTCCACATGATCTGTAAGGGCTAGGGTGGTTTAAGGGTACTACTTTCAGGTGCGTTTGACTCACATACCTATGAGATTGACCAAATGTGTGAAGGAACCGGAAACAAGGACTACAAAATGGGTGTGTGTACGTGTTTTCTGTGGGTCCGATGCCCTTTTCGACGATTGAATGGAAGTAAATGGACAACTACACTTTGAAGTTTCCCCAGTGCGGGATCAGATACAGAAAGGAATTTGCAATAAAGACAAGGTTACTGGATGATGGTCATGGTTGGCAGGTTCAAGCATATTATGTAAATTCCCAGGTTTGGTAGAACCCCCACGGGCTGCTTCAACTCAACTGCTGTAGCTAAGCAACTTTGTGCGTGGCGTTCCGAAAACAAGCTACGGAGTGCTTACTTCCATTTTGAGATATCATCATCCACCCTAAGGGGATGACATGGGGAACGCTCTGCAAACTACCGCAAACGATGAGAAAACCCGCAGGTTGCTTTTGAATAGACCCTTGAAGACCAGCTTTCAATTTTGACTGCAGTTGGCCTTCGGCGCAAGTTCCAAGTCCGACCGCGAGGGCGAGGCGTGAGAATTCGAACCCAGGGCGAGCACTATATTGGGTGACCAGGGCATTTTTATTTTTTCATTGGCACATACATAGCACAAATGATCACACATGTATCCACCTGGTTGCCTAATAGCTTGCTTGGTTGGGAGCGTTGGGAGACAGATATGTGTTTCTTTCTGTGGTTCCGAGGGGCGGATGTGATTCCAACCGCAAGCAGGTGCCTGTGGACAGAATTTCTCGAATGGGAAGTGTTGATCGTTTGCAAGCAGCCTGCCTCTCGGAATTCGCCCGCTCTTTGCGTCGTTTGCTTCACATCCGCGCACAGGCTGCACACTGCTCGGACAAAACCCGAGCGGCCCATGAGCAGATTGCCTGGGCCAAAAAGCAGCTTTGCCAACTGTTTGGGCCGAAATAAAGGCAAGAAAGCTGAGCTTCTCATTGAATTTGGAGGGTGTTTGGCTCAGTCAATTCAAGTGACTGCGACGCACCACTTTGACCCATTGCGCGATGGCACAAAAGGCGTGCGACCAAACTTGCAGCTGAGACGACTGGCAATGTGCAGAAACAGAGCACAGCACTGGGAGTCTCATTTTTGGTTTAGGATCAAAGAAATGACGAACTGAGACTCCCTCCACTCGCGAAAATGATTGCACCACTTGCAGCCAAGAGCACCTATCTAGATGCCCGACTGCCCACAAAATTTACAGTGCAATGTGCAAGCCAACGTGAAGACCCTTGGCCCTGAGTTCTTTTGCTCCAACTCCCAGTTTCTTCAGACCTCAAACTTTAGAAAGACGAGCTTCGTCAGAGACCCCGTATTGAGACTCTGGCCGGCGATGGCTGAACTTGAAACACGGACATAGCGAGCGGGTTCTAAGGATGGGCTCCGATCGCTTGCTCCAATCGCTCTAATGTAGCATCCGATTTCGGACCCCCTTTCATCCATTTGTCGGAACCCATTTAACGGGTCAAACACTGAGTTTCTATGTTTCAAGCACTGGCAGAGGGTTGCAGGGATTTGATGATTTGCACGCCTTGTGGCTTTGTGGATTCAAGTCATCCTTGGCTTCCTGTAGACAGACGTATTCAGGAAACCAACCAGCAGGGATACAGGGGGGACCAGGGATACGGGAGAATTCCCCCTAGATGCACCTTGACTAAATTTGATATGGGAAATGGCGCCAAGGGAATCCCCACATATCCCCGCTCCCTCCGTATCCCCGCTTGTTCGTTTGTCCAAGTAGCGTTTCGGGAATGTTCAGGACGAACAGTTCCGGAAGTCCGATGGACCCCTTCAAGAGTGAGTCTTGACTGGTTGCTCCAGCGGGAAAGAATGGCTGGGAGTCACCTCTAGAGTTGGCGGTTAGTATTACACGCCATGCGAAATTACTTCCATTTTTTTGATGGGACTGGCATTACTAGAAGGGCTGAAATGATTCGAACAGAGTTTGGGGTTGCACTTCAAGCAAATTGAGTCAAGATTGTTTGAGTCAAATACTAATGTGTGTTTTTAGTATAAGGGGCTAGTAATCGCTGGTATCATACGGTTCCATTTGTGATTTATTTGGGAGTTTTCATACCACAGACTTCCCCAAACTCCCATTCGAATCATTCGGCCAAGAAATGTGTGGCCACCTTTGGATCCGTTTCTCAAGGCTCGAGTTGTTTTTCAATCGGCGGAATGAGCAGCGCCACACTTCCACACTCACGTCGGAGGCTTGGAGGGGGCTCCTATTTCGAGAAACCCCAAGTAAATGTGGGCGAAAAAATGGGCCTTTCAGGGGTCCCTACATTTCCAAAAGCAAGCTCGCCGTAAGTTACGTTCCAAGGGACCAAAAAGGGCAAATGTTGGGGGTGTTGTACTTACTCCCCGCAAAATGAAGACGGAACCCCGCCATTTTTCGAGGAATCCCCTCTCAAAGACCCCTTTTTCGGGTTCCAGGCTACCGCGCAGCGGGGTGAAGGTTGCTTTGGCGAGGGTCCAGTGCATTCTTTCAGCAGGGCTCCAGATGTTTCACCTCGTCCCATTCCCCCCGCAGGTTTACAAGGAATCCCAAAACTTCTTTTGTAGAGGAAGCTTTACACAGTGCTCCCTATGTTTCCTCCTTGATCATCACCCCTATTGCAGGAAACTCACGTCGCGTTGGCGAAGAAGGATCGAACCAAAGAAAACCAACCACCTGGGAACCCAAACGTTTGAGAGACCATTCCAGCTCGGCCATCTGATCCGATGCTTTCCCCTTTTGGTCAAATGGCCTGGTGCTGTGTGTCGACAGTTAGGTCTATTTGTTGGGCTTTCGTTGTGCGCTTGTCTATTTTTGTCATGGTCCCAAAGAAACAGTGTTTGTTTCCAGGTCCTTTGGTCGCGGAAAAGTCAGAGGTTCAGCTGCTTGATTCCATCACCATGTTGGGGAAAACAACAGGAGTGAGTTGTCAAGAGTATGGACGCCTGTTGATTGAGACATGACCATGTGGAACTGTTCTGACAAAGAATAGAACCCTTTCGATTGACTTTACGTTGGTGTCCTTCAAACAAGCTGGTTTTCAACAAGAGCAACAGCTTCGCTGGGTGAGACTTTACGGCCCCTCATAACGTCATCCTTGTGTTCCCTTTGCGCGGGAAACCAGCACAAGGAAGGTCAACTCAAAAAGACGCGCCTTGCCATGGGAAGCTCGGCCTTCATTTTGCAGGCAATCATCGCACTGACAAGAAATGGGTTCCTTTTCTTTGAGTTGGTAGACTTTAAGAGGAAACCAAAGGCAGAACCACCAGTTGGTGCCGACATAGCGACCTGCGCCATATTGGCCACACCCAAATAGATCGTGTCCTTTTTGCCTGCAGGCCACGACATGTTCAAGGCGATTCGTTGCATCCAGGCGGGAGGTGTTCAGGGAAGATTCCGGGAGTTTTGGGTTTGTCCAGGGCAGCCCCGGTTGTGCTGCGCGAAGCAAAATACCCTGCGCCAAGTTTGAGCATTGTTCTGCGCGAACTGTTGTGCGCGAAAGTCGAACATTGCTACGTGCCATGAATACGTCTGAGCATTTTATGCACCCTGTTTATGGGCGAACACTGCTATGCGCTAGACTGAACACTCCTATTTTACCAAAGTCGAAGGCTGCAGCGCGCTGAGGCTGAACAGTGTTACACGTATAGTCAGGCCACTGTTTTCCAGCAAGTGTGTACAGTGTTGTTCGGAAGCTGAGTACTGTTATGCGTCAAAGTAGAGGACTCTCATGAGCCAATTACAAGCCAACAGCCAGCAATTTCTTGAGAGAGAGAGAGAGTTGCTGGCGGGGATGCCGCGAGAGATGTTTTGTTTCAACTCGACCATAAAAAGGAAGGAGGGTCGCAGGCATCATTTGACTGGCCGAGTATGAGTTACTTTGGATCTTATTTTTTGGGGATGTGATTGCGCCGTTATTTTGACTGAATAGCGACGCTCAATACATCGTATTTCAATCGGCGTACATGTCTGACCGTTTGCGCTGGGATTTGACACAAACGAAATACTTTGAGCCTTGTAGAGCCATATTATCTGCATTCGCTTTGGTAAGGCAAAGCAGTCTCAAGCGAAGACAACAGGAATGTTTGAACACCATGCTCCGTGCCCCGGCTACTTATGCGGATCATTTGGACTTTCTTTGAACCGAGTTCTGCAGAACCTGCTGGTGCGTCCAAGCCCCGTTTTGCTGGCTGGATAGTGTGTGCACGTTGTCATTGTGTTATACTGTGTTGCTCGCTTTTTCTTTGCCTTCATTCATCATGTCACAGGCTGCATGCACCCGGCGCAAGCATTGCGGGGAGTTTTTTTCTAGAGGAAACTGATTTTCAAGCTCACACGCGCAGTGTTGGTACGAGGATGGGTAAGTCAGTGATTACATTCCGGATCTGTTATGGACAATCCAGGGCAATTTGCATCTCCATGGCTCCCATGGTTATGACTCCAAAGCTGCCTCTTGCTGAGACCCCGGCTGCCCATGTGGTGTTTGTCCGAAATGGGTCAGGTTGCTTGATGTTCCTCGGAAATCAGCTGACTGCGAATTTTCGTTTTTCTAGACCCTCCCAATGCCTCCCAATCCGTAATGCAAGGGTTGTCTCAGTCCGGCGGGCTTGTTGAGAGACACTCTGAGGATTTCTGGCAAGCAGACGTTTGCCTGCATCATGAGGGCCTGAATAATTTGAACGAGGTTGGGTACTTTAGATTTAAGTCATAACCATAAGACAAGAAGATGTACTCATGGAGGTTCAGGGCCTTTCTCATGGGACTTTTTGCGAGGTTGCTTGTGTACCATGAAGAAATGACCTTCGTGACATTTCGGGACAGGCTGTTGGACCTGGATGCCGAAAATCGCCAGCACTACTTTCTGGCAGCTCAAGCATCACGGCTCTTTTGCCCCTGGAAGGCTTTGGAGGCTTAGAGGCGCCCCTGCAAATGGTGTACCACTTAATGTTGACCCCGGAGTAATACACCCCTGCTTATTAATATGGGGGTGTCCCTGGTTTTAGTGGGGATTTATCACTTTTGGTTTGCGAATTTGGGGTCAACATTACACGGTCTTGTCCCCACCGAGTTGGATGGTTTCCCTTGGCACACCGCCATCCGCTTGGACAAGACTTGGATGTCATGGAGTCTGATGCTTTTGCAATGGTGTGTTCTCGGGGTATGAAGGGCCTAGGGGTCTATGGTCAGCATGTTTATGGTGCATGGATATTGTTCTGTTGTGCTAGGAATTGCGGGACTTCGCAAAGTGTCCAGCTTCGAATGCAGTTGCTCAACATCGTTTGGCTCACTCCCGGCGGAGATCACTGCGATGCCATGATCCCGACGCAAAAATGCTCGCAGCCCCTGGGCCCCAATATGGGGCCCATAGGCAATGGTCTTCGCAGAACCCTCCGGCCAGCGCAGGAGATTGCTGTCAAGGTTGCAAAAGAACATGGAGCGCGAGCACCTTTGTGAATGGAATCCCAGTTGTCCAGTGATTTCCGCCCTTTTTTTCATTTGTCGGGATGAGTGGTTCTTTCAAGTCAAGCATAGTGAAAGTGGTGCCAGAGATTCCTCACGGCCACTCGGCTTAGGAGGGTTTTCACGGTGTGTTCGCTTTTTTCGTGATGCTGCTCATCGCTGTGGTGACTCGTGGAGACAATGGGGTCTACTTCAGGATGCAGTCGGATTGTCCGGACAAACCTTGGGATATCGAAACACAGGAGCCACGGTCAAGATTACGAGAGAGGGTTCCCCAAGAAGATATCGGAACCTTCCGTTGTTTAGAGCTGACCCCCCTTCTCGTCCCTTCTCAAATGGACCATAGACTACTGGAATTGTTGGCCAAACCTCACAGGATTCTTCCGGATGCCGCGAGAAATGCTTCCTTGGCCATCTCCATCCAATGCCGGTGATTGCTCTGGGGATTCTCTTCCTGCTATGCATGGAGCGTTGGTGTGCCGGATCAGACCAACGCTACGCGAGAGTGGGCAAGAACACACTGACAGCAAGCAAGGAGAGGAAAGAAAGGCAGTTTCTTAGTCACCATAGTTAACCAAAGCCAACATGTTGACCGTTTTGTTTTCCCATGGTCTCAAAATGGTTTTACTCAAGGTGCCAAAAGGATTTCCACATCCTGCGCTTCCGCAAGTGAGGTTTATTCGAAATGGTTTGCGGCTTTTGGCCATCGACTGTATGCTTCAGCCACTGGTCGCATGGGGCGGCCTATATATATATATATATATATATGTGAGGGGGCATTGTGCATGGCAGCAGCCGCTGCTATGTGGTTCTTGTGGAAAAAATGTTTCCCCCGCAGTGTGACCAATGCTGCCCAATGCCTGCCGCAAGATCTGTCGCAACAGCCAGGACACAATATATCAGATCTTTGCTGAACCTTTGTTTCGTATATATCGGTGGTGATATTTACCGCTCAGGCGTTGTTGACCTGGTATTTGCTGCAGAGACTTTTCTTTTCACAAGAGGCAGGAGACTGTGATAGTCCACAGAACAACGTTGACATGAGCGCAACTGGCTACCTCAAGTCGTTCCTGTCAAGTTTCTTGGTACAATTGCTCGCAGTGTCTCAGATGGGCCTGGCATTTGATACCGAGCTGGAGTGTTGGGAAACCGTTCTGAAGGGAAGATTTCAATGGCAGCCGGAAGGAGCCGAAGACTGGGAGTACGGTCCAAGCCCCTGGGAGCTGGAAATTCGTTGCTTCATTTCTTTGATCGCCAACCAAGTGTTTTTTTGGATCCTCGTGTGGTCGATTCCAATACGACTGGCCAATGCGGCCCCCATGGACTTTGTGAAAGACAGCTTCGCGATCATTTTCATCGCGATATTGGATGACTTGGACCAAGACATGGTCTTCAAGATTATCTATATGTACCTTGGTTAGAAACAGCTCTTCTTTTGTTAAAGACACATTCCCCACTCACTTTTTGCGGGTGGCATCAGGCACGACGAGGGTTGGAGCTCAAAGTATGATCAGCCACCACATAGTCCACAAGAGCTGGAGGCATGGCAAAATAGCGTTCAGGACAGGGACCAAGTGACGGTTTCATTCGACTTGCTGGTGACCCTTGGTGGTTTCCTTGAAGGCCCTGGGCTCATTCCCACATTTGGATGCAGAGCGAGGTTGTGACTCCAATCACTATTCTTGGATGGCAGCCCAGTTGCTCAGTGGCACCCCTTTCCCGATTCTTTTGAAACACACGGGTGCCTTTTTGCAGTTTGTTTTTTCATGGGAATGCACTGGGCTGCTAAGGAAGGACCAGGTGAAATTGCTGACGAAGATCGCTCCCAATGCCACCCCAACACTTAGTGGTTGGACATCAATCAGAGAATTAGCGCCTGATTCCTCCAAAGATGGCGACTGACTGTATAGTGAGCTTGAAGTGACAAGCGAATTCCTCGATTTCTAAACTACAGTACCCGCCTGTAACTTGAAATGATTCATGACCGTGGAAATCCACAGTCTATCTATTAACGTCTCACTGCCAAGATGGCGACTGACTATAATGGCATAGCAAAGGCAAACGATTTCGTCGACTTGCTGGACTACCCTCCAGCAATGTAAAATGGCAAATGACAATACACAATCTACCATATGGATCATTTATCATGGTTATTCTACTAGTCTATAAATCGTTCATTGCAGTTGGCCGTTAATATGTTGGATGACAGGAGAACGCAGCTCGTTGAATGGTTTCGTAAGAACCCCCCCTTGAGCCACGCGCGAGGAACATGTACGGACAATCCTAGGGAAATCTCAACCTATCCCAGCGGTTGGCAAATCTAGTTGAAAACAACGCTCACTGCTTCAACTTCACTTGACAGTGCTGAAGCGGCTTTCAATTCAATGGGTGAATCATGGATGTGCCATGTTTGATTTCCGTGCTGGGATGCATTTCGACGGACTTCATGTTGTATATTCCATAGATGTGCGTGCGTGTGTGTGTGTGTGTGTGCGTGTGTGTGTGTGTGTGTGTTGAATATGTCTACCAGCCGAAGCGTCGTCGCTCTGAGACTGGAAGCTGCCGATTTCTGAGAAGCAGTTGGGCTGTCCACACCTGGAACCCAAATGACCCCTACTTCAAGAGGTTTGTTGACCCGTCAAGTGGATGGTGAATCGTCCAACGGACCACCACATGTTCCTTCGGCGTGCACAAACATATATACATATATATGAGAAGGATGAGGCGGTAGCCCGGGGTTTTCTTGTTGACATGGAAAACAATGGAGGCCCTTCAATCCAAAGCGGCTGGGCATTGATTAGCCCCTTGGCTCAAGTTGACATGGAGCCCCAAACCGCAAAGGGCCCCATTCACGCCGTAAGAAGCACCTGGAGTGGTCAAAACTCCGCCAGGCGAAACTTTCATTGCGCGACGACGGGTCGCTCTCATCTGCGCTGGGCGGCGTCAAGCTTGGTGTGCCTCCGGCTGGGTCGAAGCGGCCGGAGCAGTCAGAGACGTGCCATTAAGGTCAAGTCGTCCGGGGTGAATCTGGGCAAATGCAAACTGCTGGTGGATGACAAGATGAGTGTCGCTCAGATTGAAAGGGCAGCAGAGATGCTGCGGGAGGAAGGATGGGACTTGGGTATTGAGCTCTTTGCCGAACCAGGACGATGCAAGGATGAAAACTGGCGAGCCCTGCTGGACAGGTCGGAAGTGACCTTGGCGACTTCAAGTCCTGGACAGGCCAAAGACTCGCTCAGAGCTCGGGCCTTGCAACTGGCTGAAGCACCAAGCGGTTGCCTGTCCATGCTGGTGTGTGACGCTGATCTTGCAGAGCTTGTCAGTGATTTGCCGTCGCAAGGCAAGAAAGCCATTGTGATTCTTCCGGCTCAAACATCCATTCTTTCAAGATACAAAGCAACCACTGCTGACGTGCGGTCATTGCCATCATTTGGGTCGGTGGAACTTGTCCCCGAGCCTGCCCTACGGCTGGCGGAGCTGTTGATCGCTGCTTGGTCAGGTCAATGTACTTTCACCCTGGAGCCTAGAAAATGATTGTTTCCCGAGGCTCACATGTTCTCACCTTGTGAGGTTTATGTTTTGCGGAAGGCCACCCTTGGCCAAAGACGCATTTGCGGAGTAATGCATTTTTGCTCCACTCAGGTGTGTCTTTTCCTGGCCACCTACTTCTTGCAGCCGGATGGGTTCGGGGGCCCCTCATTGCCTACCTACCTGCGTTGGATCGGGCTGGCTCCATACTTCTGGTGGTGGGATCAGTGCTCACCTTGGGATGGTTTTTGCGCATCAAATATTTGGGGCCTATGGAGATGCTCGGCAAAAGCTTTAACTCTTTTTGCCGAAGACCCAGAGCGTTTGATCCTTTGCGGCTGATTTCAAAAGAGGTAGTCATAGCGTCATACCTCCTCCTTGGATCCTAAGGGTTGCTCAAGATGCCACAAAAGGCACGCTTTCTTGGATTGACATCCAGGAATGCATGGCGATGGCTTACATGAGTTGTGATCCATGGCGCACATGTTTTTGTCCGTTTGCGTTTCACGGGAAGTTGTCAGGACTGGCAAGAAAACATGGAGTCCCTAGGTACCCTTTTGAGGCAACCGGTCCCAACCTGGGATCTTGGATTTGTTGTGTCACATGTTAAGGTTTACTATGTGAGATGTAGCAGAAGCCAACATAATGTTTTAGGGCCAGAAGCTGAGGCAGCAAAGGAATAAATCGTTTGGAATGAACAGCGTTTGAGTGGAAACAAATGTAAATCTCAGCAAGGATGACAACGGCCAGGGGCATTTTGGAACTATGCCATCGGCCTGCCAGGGCAAGCTCAGGCGGAGCTGAAGGACGGAGCTTTTGGGCACATCCCATGCCAGCCTGCTTGTTCGGTATCGATTTTGAAGGTGTGGCAATATGTCATGTGTACATATATATATATATATATTTGTATATATATATATGTGACATGAACATGTACATATGTAGATGGTTTTTTTCAGGGTAGGAGCACCAACAACTGACATTCCCATGTAGAGCTTGGTTACATCCCCTTCCCGAGGATGCGCCACTGCTCGAGAAGGCCATCGCCGCCTTCATCAGCTGGATCCCCGGTTGTTCGGTGGCAAGTCTGTTTGTTTGTTTGTTTGTTTGTTTGTTTGTTTGTTGTTTTTCCCCTTGTTTGTCCTTTTTGCCCCGCGGCCACTGGTTTTTTTGTAGAAAATGAAGATGGAAACCAAAGGGTCGGATGCAGTGGATTGCGCAGCGCGCAACGGAAGGTATTTTGTGATGCCACATTCTTTCATGTGCTGTGTTGGTGCCACCAAATATGAGATAGTTTTTCCAGTCATTACCAATTCCCCCAACAAACAGCCAAACTTGTGTGCTAATCCGCCCATCATTTTGAATGATCCCAAAAGGAGACCCAAAAAGGATAGATATGTTGTTGCCTTTTTCAGACACCGCCAGCTATTTTGTTAAACGAAGCATTTTGGACTTAGCGCACGGGAACCCCAAGTCCTAGAATCCTTGGGATACTAAGAACCCACGGTACTCTGTCAAACCGGTTTTGGCTGCAAGTCTTATGGCGAGCTGGGCACAGCTCTTATGCTCACCATGTAGGTCCTGTACTTCGGGATCCAACCATATTTTTCAGGTCTTGCAGTTGGGGAAGTTGCAGAAGGTAGCATGAAGTTACCCTTGGGTTTGGCTCACCGGTTCCGTGGAGTCAGGATCTTCGCCCTGGCAGCCGGCATCGTAGCATTCGTCGTGGGTGCCGTCTTGGACATCATCCGCGAGTTCCTGGTGTTGGCCATTTTTCTGGTGCCTTTGGGGCTTCTCATCAGCCCCTCGGCTTAGAACATACATTTCTGGCTTTACTTGTGTCGTTGGTTGTGGGTTTGGTGTTTGGTTCTCTGTGTTGTGTTGTCTTGTCTTTTGTTGTGCGCTTGTCGGTGTGTGTGTGTGTGTTGGTTCTTGTGCTTTCGTTCTTGCAATGTTGGGGGCTGCCCTCCGACCAACTAGCAGGGAATCTGCCAGAAGGTTCATTTGAGAGGACAATCGTGTCTCAGTCCATTTATCAGGTGCTGCGGCAACACGGGTGGGTTGTTTTGACCCCTTGATTGTTGGGCATACAGGGGTCTGATTGCAAGCGGGGCTGGCGTCGGACAGGGGGTCCTCACTTCTGACTGGATTCAGCCCGCATCGTGGTTTATTGGTGGCTGGAGCCTAAACAGAAGTTGATTGTTGCAACCCTTGGATTTTGAACCAGGTGGAACCTGATCTTCCCAAACACTTTCATGTCCGGAAGTTGAGGTTTCGAGCTGTGGAACCTTGAGCTGAGAAACCGCCGTTTCAATAGAAATAAGCAGACCCAGGGGCCTAGGCTCAGTCCCTGTCTCCAAAGGGCTCCAAAGGCAAGGTAACTGCCTACTGAGCTAAGTTGTTCCTTTTGCCTCCAGGGATGATGTTCAGAAGACGGCAACAAGGTAAAGCCCCAATTTGGTCTCCGGGTTTGTTTTTTGCTAAGCTGCACAGGACCCAAGAAGAATGGATGGTCTGCATCCATGGCAAGGATGCCAGACTCTGAGTTGTCTAGCAAACTTAGCATCTGTTTTGTTTACGTACTTATTTTCAGCTTCCCCGCAATTGGTGCTTTGCATTGGTGGTTTGGTGCTTAAGGAGGGGCAGGAGGGTTCTCGGGTTCTCATTTACGCAAAGCCAGGGGTTCAAATCCGCAAACCACTACTCCAAACCACCAACTAGGGGTTACCTGACATTTGTTGTATTGTCCACTTCTCGGACAGACCCAGCACGTCTTGTATGCATGTTATTCGTTCGAGCGAGGTTCGGGCCTCCAGAACTTTTTGCCACCGGAGGCAGGGTCCGCCAAGTATCATTTGTTTCTGGGAAGGTGCTAAAGGACGCATCAACTTGCCAAAGACAGTTGGCAGATGGTCAACGAGCCCTGTACTTGCAGGACGGTCATCAGTGGCTTTGCCTTGCCCCCAAAGGGTCCCTTCCAAACCTGTCCCATGGTTTGACCTATCAGCCCTTGTCCATGTTAAATGGACATCAAATGAAGCTTGTGGAAAGAGGCTACCGATCAACTTAAATGAAAGACAACCAGTTGGGGTTCGCCTTGTTATGAAAACTATGGTTTGGTTCTTACCTATCAAATATGCTTGACTAGCAGGTCATTCAGTTTTTGGAGGTTTGTCAGTTATTTATCTTTTAACCATCAGGCAAGTGCGCAGGCCCCTTTTGGAAGACAGCTGTCCCTTGGAAAGGGGATTTGTTGACCAATCCACGTTTCTTGATGTGACGTTGGTTGATGTTTGGTCTGACCGAGCTGAGCGTCACACATTTCGGTGCTCGTTGAAATAGTGGGCCCCTTCTTCAAGTGGTTGGGTTTGTTTGAGAAGCTCCCAAATTTGGGGGGCATGACATGTTTTCGCACTCACCAGTGCAAAGATAAACACTTTTTTGAAGGAGTTTGCCCAACCCAGTTTTGGTGGATTTCCTGCATACGGGTATGTGTCGTTAGGCTGGCTCCTTTTACGAGGGGGCTTGGAAGTTCTTACATGTTGATTGTGTTTGCCAATTTTGTGGGCAATTGTCCATAAACAATATGTATGGTGAGTGTGCTTGGACCGCTATTTGACAGGGCTCTTGATGTCCGACCATTTTGAGGTCCCTCTCCTGTTGTTGGGAGGATGTTTAGAGGGGACATAGAGGGTCCCCTGTTAGAACCATTGTTATGAGCTGCTCTTTGTGGGTTGAACAGGCAAGTAACCCCAAAAGGCAGCCACAAGGAGGCGTTGTTGTGTGTTCTAGACTCTAGACGCCCCACTAGGTGCGCAGGTACCGCGGGCTGTGGCAAAGGGGAAACAGGGGAAACCTTAGCCCCAGTAAAATCATGAAGGGGGTGTTTGTTTCCGTTGTTCCGGAAACTAAAAGTGGGTGCCCCAGTTTCCAAACCTCTCGATTTAAGCCAACCCTTCCCACTTTCTTTGCACGCGCAGACTGCAAGGTGCAGGCCTTGCTGTTACCCAGCCTCGGCCGCTTCGGGTTCTTCCTCAGCCTCGCACTGCTGCTCCGTGCAGCGCGGTTTCTGGTGAATGCCGCGGGCGAAGCGAAGGCGGGGGCGAGCTCTGCCTTAACCCGCAAAAGAGAGTACCAAATCCTATGCGTATCTCAGTACGAAGCAATCCTTCCATTTGGTTAAGAATATGATTTTCCCCTGTTGGGTTTAAAGGGAATATATCACTACTGGAAATATTATGTTTTTGCAGGGGACTGCAAATGGAGGAATCAAAGCGTATTTGTTCGCAACAGGAGACCTAAAGGTAGGCGACGTACTAGCTTTACCAAACCTGCGCCTGGCACCAGTTGGGCAGCTTATCCAGTATAGGGTTCTATTTGCAGATCTCCAGCGCGTAGCTTCCTCTTTCCCTTTGGCGAGAAGAAGCTCCCTTTAAGAGTAACTATGAAACAAAAGAGTTTGTTCAGGGCTGGACATATTGCCAGGCTTGGCTTGGAGTTTTAACGTGTTGCCTTTTGGCTAATGATTTGCGAACCGGCGAAGACTACCTTGAAGGATCCTTCTGCTTCCATGTTTGGGCTGTTTACGCATCCTTACTTGGGCTTCTTGTTGGTGGAGTGATGTTTGGGACAGGCGAGGAGCCACTGGCACGAGGGTTGGCCTGTTGACGTCTAGTCCCACCCTTACATGCGCTTTCTGCACTTCTGTTCCCCGAGAAGGATGACCAAAAGGCATCCCTCAAGGTGCACCTTTGATATGACATAGCCATAGCCAATTTTGGTGTGACTACTATGGTGTCACCACTGGGGCAGCTTTCTGCATCCATGTCCCTTTCGATGACTGAGAAGTTAATGGGCGCCAACACTCAGTAATGGAGTACAGACCGAGCACCCAGAGCGATCCCTTGGTGACAAGATGCATCTGCTCGTTTCAGTACGCATCCAAATTTCCGCAGTTGTTGTCGAAACTTTGGAGCCCCAGGTTGGACCCCGAGAAAAGGCAGGCCATAATGTGAAACCTGTTCCATAACTCGACCCCATGCTGACCAAAAAACCGCATGCAGAAATCAAACTGTTCGTTTTGAGATCCCATGAAGGATCCAATGATGCTTAGGGCAGAGCCCTCCTCACATTGCAATCAAACACTCGCTACTCGAGTACCTATTGCTGGGGCTCTTTGCTCGCCCGACACGCCCGGCCCTTGCCTGCAGGACAGAGGCGCCTAGTGAGCAGACAGCTCGACAGTTGGCCGTTTGGGGAAGGGGGTCCGTTATTTCCACGATGCGGTCTATATATCAGTGGTCAAAGAGGACGCCTCCGGTTTCCTGTTGCCTGCCTTCAAAGACCATCCAAAGCGAGTCCCAACGGGGTTTACCCTTTTTGATGGTTGACCATACAGAGACTGGGTCCTGTAAAGAAGAGTCACTCATATGGAACACGTTATTTTTCCACAGCAATGGCGTTTATGGGTTTCATCATAGGGAGAATGTATGCCAAATTCTCATTACCAGGTCAGTATAGCCAACACTTTATTCGTGTTGAGCGCAGCTCGAGCGAGCTTGAGAAGGTCGCCTTGGCGCTTCAAACGTTTCTTGCTACGTGCTGCCACTCAAAAACAGCCAGTTCTAGCTCCATATCTGCCAACCCGACTTCCCACAAAAGGACGACATGGGTTTCACAACAACGCGACCCCTCTACAACTTGGTCGCTGACCTTTTTGTGACCTTTTGGTTGTCCCAATTGGCCAGGTTGCAGTCGTGGTGTCAGGGTTGAAAACAGAGCCCATTGCAAAGGGAGAAAGGAGAGCCTTCAAGTCTTCCAAACGGGTTGTATGCAAGTGTTGGTATTGATATGCCCAGTTCCCACAAGGCAACCGACCGAAATTCAGTTTTTACAAGGTGAAGCACAATCAAAACCTATTAAGGGACGCTCCCAGCCAAAAAAAGGGCGAACGTCCGCCCAGTTCCCACTTTACGTGGCTTTGGGTGGACTAGGTGTCTTGATGCTGAAAACAGACCGCCCTGCCTCGCATGGTCCGCTTGCGTTCCGGGCTCACTAAAGTGAGCCTCTTGAGCTAATTGAAAGATAGGCTTGCCCAAAAAAGGGGATGCAAACCTTTCAAGAATTTGAGAATGAAAGCGAGGAGCCTCTTTTTCTTTTGGTGTGCCATGAAACCAACCTGAAAAAGGGCACTCAACACAGCACACACCCATATTTTGCACCCCCCGTTTTTGCGAGCAATCCTGCAGCTTTTCCCCTAGGCGATTCTATTCATCGCCTTGGGCCTTGGGTTTGCCATGTCTCCTCGATCGGAGCGGCGGTTGAAGTACAGGGCTGCCGGGTGAAGAAAAGAGAGCGCGCTTCGGCGGAGTCCCATGAAACCAGCAGGGAACTTCCCCCAAGCTCACAATCCTCATACTTAAACAGGGCTCCTTGAAAGATGCATTTGCCGATTTGAAACATGGCTGTGTCCACCAAAATAAAGGGAAACCACAATTTGCAAGGCAATGTTCAGGTGTATAATGTAAGGGGATCCCCATTAAATAGCGTCTTGGGGCATTAGCAATTTTCTGAGCACCTTCTGGATGATGGCCAACACCTTTGTGTTGAAAGAGGATGTGTGTGGTGGGGTGGGCATGCCGTAGGGGCCAAAGGCTCGTCTCAATTTCCTATTTTCTGGCCCCACAACAGAAGCGCGATATCTTATCCGCACAAGGGAGCCGCTCGTCAACATGGCTGTGAGAAATAGGGTTTAAGCGCCACTTTCTGTGACACCAAACAAAATGTCTCGAGACAAAAAGGGAAAAGCACCGCGCGCCAGGCACCGGAGCGGCCCTGACCAGTAGTCGATCTGATTTGCCATGTGCTCTGCTGGCCGGTGCCCGCTGAGTTTCTGTTGCTGGGGCCCTTGGAGTAAAGATTTTAAGGGGTTCTCCTAATTTCTGGGGTGGGGACAACTCGGGGGTCATGTTGAGGCTTTCACCTTAACGGAGCCAGGATCACAAATCCGCCTTTTTTGAGATCATTTGCAGCATGCTGGTTCTGAGCTGCTTACTTCATAATTCGTTTAAGTCTAGGACCTGACCGAGGCATGTCTATGGCTCAAGAACACCAGCTCAGGGCCCACAATGAAGCCATAACTTGGGAGTAAAGGACAAAAAACGTGGGAGTTGAGTCTCCCAGTGTCACGGTCCTTTTGACCTCGGCATGCCGCGAGCCTGAAGCCCCGAAGCCCGAAGCCCGAAGCCCGGCGTGAATTTGCCATCTGGATGCAGCGGAGCAGCGCCCGGAAGATTGTCTGCCAAGTTCGGTGGCTCACTTCTTGAGTTCATGGACTTTTAAGCCTCTTTGGGAAGAACATGTTAGTGGTAAACAATAAAGGTTTGGACTTGTTCTGACCAATCCACTCAGGTAGTGAAGGCGTTGCAATGATTTGGTGGTTGCAGCCAACGTCCATGGGTTCGGTCGCTGCTGCGTTCTGCATGAGTTTTGTTTCACAGCGCAATACTTGAGGTATTGCAAAGGATGAGCTTTGACTGATTGTGCGACACAAAGGCGTGCGACCAAATGTGCGGCTGACACGGCAGCAACTTTGAACAGACAGAACCAAAGCACCTGCAAAAACCCATACTTCCCCAGTTTCTGGGAGTTTAAGCTTTTGGGGAAGATCGGGGAAGATCGGGGAAGATCATGTTAGTGTCAAAAAGGTATGACTAGATGTTCTGACCAATCCTGACACACACACACCCACACACACACAAACAAGCCCAGAATAACTGCGAACAACGACTAAAACAAACAACTGCAGAACTGCGAAGGAAAACACAGTGGGTTGTTCGGACTCCGTACGAAGGGGATCTCGTTGCCGTTTCGCCCAGGCAAGTTTGGGCGCCAGCCTGGAGGACAGTGCCTGGCAGCAGAGGGCGGAGGCGCGGCTCTCCCTTTCGCGGATAAACTGATGTGAGCCACGTGCTCAGACCCCGGTTAGATGAAGGTAAGGGTGAATTTCGGCCGGAAACAGCTGCAGATTTGATTTCCTTACATGGATTTGGGTAGACCATTTTAGTACCAAGTGTTGATTGTGGCTCATGTGGGGGCTGATCAAGACCGGTCCGATATGCATGGGATGCCCCTTGGGAAACCACCAAAAAAGATGACTTTCACCACGAAATGGGAAAATTACCCATGCATTCAATAATATTGATCAACCCCCCAAGTCCACTATTATGGGCCAGGGATGATGTGAGCCACAATCAAAACCCGGGTAGATGAAGGTTAGTAAGGGACGATCCCAACCATAAATAGCTGCGGCCGCCTTCTTAATCCTGTACATGGTTCTGGGTAGACCATTTTAGTATCGAGTTTTGATTTCGACTCATGTGTTATGTCAGCTAGTCCCTTTTCCTTCCAAAGGCGTCGCCCATGGCTGAGCTGTTCAAAGGCAACCGGATCGGGGATGAAACGAGCTGGGGCACCATGAAGGTCCCTCGCGATTTGGGTATGGGTCAAAATGAAAGCACCAAGCGACCGCAGGTTTTAGGCCATGTGTAGGGTTCCAAGATGGATACCCATCTTTGTTGTCGATCCTCTTGCGGCTGGGTTGCTGAGGGAAGCCAAGGGAGATCCAAATTCCAATTGGCGGGATCCCCTGTTCTGGGGGCACCCCCAATGATGAGGTGCAACCACACGTGAGTAGCCGACAAATGAATTGGCCAAAGGTAGAGGCCAAAGGGGCCAGCCTCAAAGCGTGGTCAGACGAGCCCCAAAGCCCGGTTTCTGCCAACAACATGCACATGGTTTGCCTAAGGATCATCCAATTCTCAAGGCCTTTCTTTTGGGGGCAACCGGAGCCCTAGGAGCCCTACACTCCCTCAGACTAACGTGGAAGCTCCCAGGACCCCTTAAGATTTGGTTCCATTTACAGGGGCCTTTTGGCAGCTTCCGTGTTAGGCTGAGGGAGCCCTAGGCGACACGGAGGATCGCAGTAGGTGTGAGCCTGCCAGGTGTTGCGGGATGAGCTGCTGCGTCAGTCCGCCATGGCGCCCGGGACTCGGCGTGGGGCTCGACTCAGGCCAACTCAAGCGGTCGTTCGCTTGCGAGAACCGTTTTCCTGAGACGGACCGCCCAGCTTCCGTTTGAATGTTGATTTCCATGTTCAAACCAAGCGAGAATCTGCTTGTTGACGACGCTCTGCAGATAGTCCTGAACTATCAATGAAGCTGTCGTTACAGATATTCAGCTGGTCGATGTGCTTGTTCGGTCAGAAGAATCTAAGAATGAATTAGTTCCCAGGGGATTGGGATGCCGTCGTCGGAATGGAAAAGAATAGGACCTGTTTTCGCCATGGGTGCCGATCAACGAGGTGGTTTTCTTTGATCGAAGCTTGGGGTTTGGACGTTACTTAAAATGAAAGCCAAAGGACACACACACCATGTTGCACACACCCGATTCCTGGTTTCACTAATTCCCACTTTAGAGGCGCTCTACTTCACTGGTCTTGGCCTGGACATTTTATTTGCCTTGTTGCTTCTCATTGTGAAGTGGCTAGTGGCTCCCGGTCAACCTCTGCTTAGCCGTTGGAAAGCCTTGAAACTAGTGTTGTTGATGGCTTAGCTAAACTTGAGGGAGAGCAGCTAAGGACTTGCACTTCCCAGCTGACGACGTTGACCCCGGATTCATTCACTTGCATGATATGTTTCCCTGCAAAGTGATGGATCTCTCTAGAATTTGACGCTCCCCCTGTTCAACCAGAGTTTTGGAATCCTGGGTTCCCAATGTGCTGCCAAACAGCTTATCTTTGCAGACCCCCCACTAACCAACAGGGCCAAAGACACAACTAACAAAGTCCTCTCCGGAGCAGCAACATCCTGGTTGCACTGGTGAGCACACACGCCCGGCGATGATTTCCGAGGACGGAGGTTCAGGACCGAATACACTGGCTGCGGGCACAGATGCAGAGGCCTGTCCTGTCATTTTTTCTGGTTGGGGGTGGGGGTGGATGTGTCACAAGGTGTGTAAACAAGCAGACTCGATGCGGTCCCCTCCAAAGCGAAGAAACAAAAGAACGTGGTTCAATCAATAGCGGTTTACACACATTGAAGCAAGTGGGTGGCCCGACCCTGGTTGGGAGGGCGGGAAGGGTGGGTAGCGCAAGGCATCTCTATATGCTTGGTGATATGTTTACATCCGCTAAGCATGAACCAGAATTGCCATTGCAAGATGTACTTCGGCACGTGGCGATGTTTGTTGCAGGGAATGCCGGTGACCTTTGTTCTGCA